AATACACCAACAAAATTGTTGTCTTAAACAACCAGCAAACATTCTACAAAGGAATTTTAGTAGAATTTTAAAGGCATTTTTAAAGTTTCTCACTGTTTTTCCGCTGTAGTAAGGCTCATTGGTTACACAGTAGACCATTAGTGGCAGCTGCCAATTTGACTAGCCAGCAACTAGCATTTATATAACATGTTGAAGAGTTATCGGCTAGCCACAGTTTATTCAGTTTAAAATTGAATCAAATTATATTTTTTACATAATTGAGTTTATCTTGTTTTAAGGCTTTCTTATTTTTCTAACATAGATCAATAAAATAAGATCATTTAAAATACAAAATCAACTTTAAAATAATGTAATTAGTTTTATGTAAGCTTAAATTTAATTACCCTGTAAATTTAAAAACAATATTAAATAAAATCTGACAATAATCGATATCACTAATTGTTTTTTTTTTGTTTTTTTTTCGTTTATCTTTTTGTTCTTTTTTTTTTCTTTGCTTGTTTTTTATTTTTGTTTTATCAAATGTATTTATGATATCTATTAATTGAGATGATTGTATTATTGTTATCATTGTTATAATTTGTCTTTATCTTTGTTTTTGTAATTATCATTGTTATCATTTTTTTTCATAGTCGTTGTTATCAATATCTGATCAATGTTTGTTATCATAATTGTAATATACATGATCATTATTATTGTCATTATTGTAATGATCACCATTATTGTCATCATTAATCATCATTATTAATGTCATTAATGTTATCATCATCATTATTATCATCATCATCACATCATCATCATCACCATTATTTATAGTGGATTCTAAAGATTGCATTTAAATTTGCTATTTTTTCATTCCTTTAATGTCATGTGTATTTTTTTTACTTTAGCAATTTCTATGTCAAGTTGGTCAGATTGGGGCAACTGGTCTAATTGTACTGTTACTTGTGGTGTTGGAGTTATGAATAGAACAAGAATGTGTCTTGGTTCAATTGATTTATGTGAAGGAAACACTACTGATATAACTGATTGTTCCAGTAATCAAACATGTACAGGTATTTAATGAACAAATGCTGAATGCCTTCATAAAATTATTGCTTTATCATCAACATTAACATCCTCTTCCATCTAATCATTATTATCATCATCATCATCATCATCATCATCATCATCATCATTATCATTATTGTCATTACCATCATTATCAACATTATTATCTTTATCATCACAATCATCATAATTTATTTTTCTCAAAAACTATTCCAATCTGTGTTTTATGTTAATGAAAATTAAAGTATATTAATGAGAAAATTAATGTAAATGTTTTAGCAAACACTTTATCAAATTGGTCAGATTGGAGCAGTTGGTCAAATTGTAGTGTCTCCTGTGGTGATGGAACTAAGAATAGAACAAGGATGTGTCTTGATCCAGTTAAATCATGTTTAGGGAACACTACTGATATAACTGATTGTTATAGCAATTTAACTTGTGCAGGTATTTAAAAAAGTATTATTTATCATAAATATCATTTTGATCATTAATGTTATCGTTATTTTCATCATTAATGTTATCATCATCATTGTTGTCATGACAATCTATTGTTGTCATCGTTCTATAATTTATCATCATGATTATTGTTATACTCTTTTTTTTTTCATTATTTATAGTGGATTCTAAATATATAGGTGGCATATATAGGTGGCATGATTTATCGTCATTTTAGCTATCATCATCGACATCATCATCATCATCATCGTCATCAGTATATGGTTCTCTGTTCGTTTTTGCAACAATGTCATCGGCTAACAGGATCTTAGATTATTGCTGTGTCACTTAGTATTTTTTAAATTTTTTTTCAGTGTTTCTTATTCGAAAGATCTATACTTTTTAGATTTGTTATTTTTAAAAAAATTTTTGATCATAAACTCTAATTATAATAGCCAAATTAAAAAATGCGTTGCATTACTGAATGCATTGAAAATGAGGGTTTATGCATGGGATTCATAAAATAGACGTTGGGGTATGTTTTTTTTTATTCATTTTCTTCAAATGAAGCTATAAACGAAATAAATCGACATTTCTAAATTTTGACATTTTTCATATCATGGCGTTTTTAAGTTTCTGAGTTCAAGTAAACTTTGTAAAATATATTAGTTAACAAATCTCATACTTGGGTTTTCAAAACAAAAAACATTTAATAAAATTTTTTTATATACGTTTTTAAGAAAATTTTCTTTGCTGGATGTAATTTTTACTAAATCGAATGTCTAAAAAATATAAACTTTGCTTTTGAAACGAAAAAGATTTTTTGAAAATTTTGTTTTAACTGTGAGGTGTTGCGTTACCGAAACTACACAGGTTGCATTACCGTACTTACTGGTTTTTGGTTATAAGTGAGTTTGAACGGTTTATTTTGCAATAACTTTTAAGTTATTGTTTTAGGATAAAACTTATTTACTCTTTTTTTTTCAAAAAATCAAATTGATGCAAATAATAATTGATTAAAATTGATTGGAAATTAATCAAAGTCTCAGAGGCGCATTATAGGACTTTCAGGGTTAAGAAAATGACAATCAATTAAAACAGGGGAAATTTTTATTTTAAATAACTTTTTAAATAAATAAATGAAGCTTTAAATACAATATTTATAGTTAGCAAATGCGTTCATTTTGAATACACAAATAATACTATTTTTGATTATTTTAGAATAAAAACTTTACAGCAATCTTCTGACATCTTTTTTTTAATTTAAGTAAAATTTTTTTTAGGTATTTTTAAGTTAATTTTGGCTTTATGAAAAAAATACACCAACAAAATTGTTGTCTTAAACAACCAGCAAACATTCTACAAAGGAATTTTAGTAGAATTTTAAAGGCATTTTTAAAGTTTCTCACTGTTTTTCCGCTGTAGTAAGGCTCATTGGTTACACAGTAGACCATTAGTGGCAGCTGCCAATTTGACTAGCCAGCAACTAGCATTTATATAACATGTTGAAGAGTTATCGGCTAGCCACAGTTTATTCAGTTTAAAATTGAATCAAATTATATTTTTTACATAATTGAGTTTATCTTGTTTTAAGGCTTTCTTATTTTTCTAACATAGATCAATAAAATAAGATCATTTAAAATACAAAATCAACTTTAAAATAATGTAATTAGTTTTATGTAAGCTTAAATTTAATTACCCTGTAAATTTAAAAACAATATTAAATAAAATCTGACAATAATCGATATCACTAATTGTTTTTTTTTTGTTTTTTTTTCGTTTATCTTTTTGTTCTTTTTTTTTTCTTTGCTTGTTTTTTATTTTTGTTTTATCAAATGTATTTATGATATCTATTAATTGAGATGATTGTATTATTGTTATCATTGTTATAATTTGTCTTTATCTTTGTTTTTGTAATTATCATTGTTATCATTTTTTTTCATAGTCGTTGTTATCAATATCTGATCAATGTTTGTTATCATAATTGTAATATACATGATCATTATTATTGTCATTATTGTAATGATCACCATTATTGTCATCATTAATCATCATTATTAATGTCATTAATGTTATCATCATCATTATTATCATCATCATCACATCATCATCATCACCATTATTTATAGTGGATTCTAAAGATTGCATTTAAATTTGCTATTTTTTCATTCCTTTAATGTCATGTGTATTTTTTTTACTTTAGCAATTTCTATGTCAAGTTGGTCAGATTGGGGCAACTGGTCTAATTGTACTGTTACTTGTGGTGTTGGAGTTATGAATAGAACAAGAATGTGTCTTGGTTCAATTGATTTATGTGAAGGAAACACTACTGATATAACTGATTGTTCCAGTAATCAAACATGTACAGGTATTTAATGAACAAATGCTGAATGCCTTCATAAAATTATTGCTTTATCATCAACATTAACATCCTCTTCCATCTAATCATTATTATCATCATCATCATCATCATCATCATCATCATCATTATCATTATTGTCATTACCATCATTATCAACATTATTATCTTTATCATCACAATCATCATAATTTATTTTTCTCAAAAACTATTCCAATCTGTGTTTTATGTTAATGAAAATTAAAGTATATTAATGAGAAAATTAATGTAAATGTTTTAGCAAACACTTTATCAAATTGGTCAGATTGGAGCAGTTGGTCAAATTGTAGTGTCTCCTGTGGTGATGGAACTAAGAATAGAACAAGGATGTGTCTTGATCCAGTTAAATCATGTTTAGGGAACACTACTGATATAACTGATTGTTATAGCAATTTAACTTGTGCAGGTATTTAAAAAAGTATTATTTATCATAAATATCATTTTGATCATTAATGTTATCGTTATTTTCATCATTAATGTTATCATCATCATTGTTGTCATGACAATCTATTGTTGTCATCGTTCTATAATTTATCATCATGATTATTGTTATACTCTTTTTTTTTTCATTATTTATAGTGGATTCTAAATATATAGGTGGCATATATAGGTGGCATGATTTATCGTCATTTTAGCTATCATCATCGACATCATCATCATCATCATCGTCATCAGTATATGGTTCTCTGTTCGTTTTTGCAACAATGTCATCGGCTAACAGGATCTTAGATTATTGCTGTGTCACTTAGTATTTTTTAAATTTTTTTTCAGTGTTTCTTATTCGAAAGATCTATACTTTTTAGATTTGTTATTTTTAAAAAAATTTTTGATCATAAACTCTAATTATAATAGCCAAATTAAAAAATGCGTTGCATTACTGAATGCATTGAAAATGAGGGTTTATGCATGGGATTCATAAAATAGACGTTGGGGTATGTTTTTTTTTATTCATTTTCTTCAAATGAAGCTATAAACGAAATAAATCGACATTTCTAAATTTTGACATTTTTCATATCATGGCGTTTTTAAGTTTCTGAGTTCAAGTAAACTTTGTAAAATATATTAGTTAACAAATCTCATACTTGGGTTTTCAAAACAAAAAACATTTAATAAAATTTTTTTATATACGTTTTTAAGAAAATTTTCTTTGCTGGATGTAATTTTTACTAAATCGAATGTCTAAAAAATATAAACTTTGCTTTTGAAACGAAAAAGATTTTTTGAAAATTTTGTTTTAACTGTGAGGTGTTGCGTTACCGAAACTACACAGGTTGCATTACCGTACTTACTGGTTTTTGGTTATAAGTGAGTTTGAACGGTTTATTTTGCAATAACTTTTAAGTTATTGTTTTAGGATAAAACTTATTTACTCTTTTTTTTTCAAAAAATCAAATTGATGCAAATAATAATTGATTAAAATTGATTGGAAATTAATCAAAGTCTCAGAGGCGCATTATAGGACTTTCAGGGTTAAGAAAATGACAATCAATTAAAACAGGGGAAATTTTTATTTTAAATAACTTTTTAAATAAATAAATGAAGCTTTAAATACAATATTTATAGTTAGCAAATGCGTTCATTTTGAATACACAAATAATACTATTTTTGATTATTTTAGAATAAAAACTTTACAGCAATCTTCTGACATCTTTTTTTTAATTTAAGTAAAATTTTTTTTAGGTATTTTTAAGTTAATTTTGGCTTTATGAAAAAAATACACCAACAAAATTGTTGTCTTAAACAACCAGCAAACATTCTACAAAGGAATTTTAGTAGAATTTTAAAGGCATTTTTAAAGTTTCTCACTGTTTTTCCGCTGTAGTAAGGCTCATTGGTTACACAGTAGACCATTAGTGGCAGCTGCCAATTTGACTAGCCAGCAACTAGCATTTATATAACATGTTGAAGAGTTATCGGCTAGCCACAGTTTATTCAGTTTAAAATTGAATCAAATTATATTTTTTACATAATTGAGTTTATCTTGTTTTAAGGCTTTCTTATTTTTCTAACATAGATCAATAAAATAAGATCATTTAAAATACAAAATCAACTTTAAAATAATGTAATTAGTTTTATGTAAGCTTAAATTTAATTACCCTGTAAATTTAAAAACAATATTAAATAAAATCTGACAATAATCGATATCACTAATTGTTTTTTTTTTGTTTTTTTTTCGTTTATCTTTTTGTTCTTTTTTTTTTCTTTGCTTGTTTTTTATTTTTGTTTTATCAAATGTATTTATGATATCTATTAATTGAGATGATTGTATTATTGTTATCATTGTTATAATTTGTCTTTATCTTTGTTTTTGTAATTATCATTGTTATCATTTTTTTTCATAGTCGTTGTTATCAATATCTGATCAATGTTTGTTATCATAATTGTAATATACATGATCATTATTATTGTCATTATTGTAATGATCACCATTATTGTCATCATTAATCATCATTATTAATGTCATTAATGTTATCATCATCATTATTATCATCATCATCACATCATCATCATCACCATTATTTATAGTGGATTCTAAAGATTGCATTTAAATTTGCTATTTTTTCATTCCTTTAATGTCATGTGTATTTTTTTTACTTTAGCAATTTCTATGTCAAGTTGGTCAGATTGGGGCAACTGGTCTAATTGTACTGTTACTTGTGGTGTTGGAGTTATGAATAGAACAAGAATGTGTCTTGGTTCAATTGATTTATGTGAAGGAAACACTACTGATATAACTGATTGTTCCAGTAATCAAACATGTACAGGTATTTAATGAACAAATGCTGAATGCCTTCATAAAATTATTGCTTTATCATCAACATTAACATCCTCTTCCATCTAATCATTATTATCATCATCATCATCATCATCATCATCATCATCATCATCATCATCATCATCATTATCATTATTGTCATTACCATCATTATCAACATTATTATCTTTATCATCACAATCATCATAATTTATTTTTCTCAAAAACTATTCCAATCTGTGTTTTATGTTAATGAAAATTAAAGTATATTAATGAGAAAATTAATGTAAATGTTTTAGCAAACACTTTATCAAATTGGTCAGATTGGAGCAGTTGGTCAAATTGTAGTGTCTCCTGTGGTGATGGAACTAAGAATAGAACAAGGATGTGTCTTGATCCAGTTAAATCATGTTTAGGGAACACTACTGATATAACTGATTGTTATAGCAATTTAACTTGTGCAGGTATTTAAAAAAGTATTATTTATCATAAATATCATTTTGATCATTAATGTTATCGTTATTTTCATCATTAATGTTATCATCATCATTGTTGTCATGACAATCTATTGTTGTCATCGTTCTATAATTTATCATCATGATTATTGTTATACTCTTTTTTTTTTCATTATTTATAGTGGATTCTAAATATATAGGTGGCATATATAGGTGGCATGATTTATCGTCATTTTAGCTATCATCATCGACATCATCATCATCATCATCATCGTCATCAGTATATGGTTCTCTGTTCGTTTTTGCAACAATGTCATCGGCTAACAGGATCTTAGATTATTGCTGTGTCACTTAGTATTTTTTAAATTTTTTTTCAGTGTTTCTTATTCGAAAGATCTATACTTTTTAGATTTGTTATTTTTAAAAAAATTTTTGATCATAAACTCTAATTATAATAGCCAAATTAAAAAATGCGTTGCATTACTGAATGCATTGAAAATGAGGGTTTATGCATGGGATTCATAAAATAGACGTTGGGGTATGTTTTTTTTTATTCATTTTCTTCAAATGAAGCTATAAACGAAATAAATCGACATTTCTAAATTTTGACATTTTTCATATCATGGCGTTTTTAAGTTTCTGAGTTCAAGTAAACTTTGTAAAATATATTAGTTAACAAATCTCATACTTGGGTTTTCAAAACAAAAAACATTTAATAAAATTTTTTTATATACGTTTTTAAGAAAATTTTCTTTGCTGGATGTAATTTTTACTAAATCGAATGTCTAAAAAATATAAACTTTGCTTTTGAAACGAAAAAGATTTTTTGAAAATTTTGTTTTAACTGTGAGGTGTTGCGTTACCGAAACTACACAGGTTGCATTACCGTACTTACTGGTTTTTGGTTATAAGTGAGTTTGAACGGTTTATTTTGCAATAACTTTTAAGTTATTGTTTTAGGATAAAACTTATTTACTCTTTTTTTTTCAAAAAATCAAATTGATGCAAATAATAATTGATTAAAATTGATTGGAAATTAATCAAAGTCTCAGAGGCGCATTATAGGACTTTCAGGGTTAAGAAAATGACAATCAATTAAAACAGGGGAAATTTTTATTTTAAATAACTTTTTAAATAAATAAATGAAGCTTTAAATACAATATTTATAGTTAGCAAATGCGTTCATTTTGAATACACAAATAATACTATTTTTGATTATTTTAGAATAAAAACTTTACAGCAATCTTCTGACATCTTTTTTTTAATTTAAGTAAAATTTTTTTTAGGTATTTTTAAGTTAATTTTGGCTTTATGAAAAAAATACACCAACAAAATTGTTGTCTTAAACAACCAGCAAACATTCTACAAAGGAATTTTAGTAGAATTTTAAAGGCATTTTTAAAGTTTCTCACTGTTTTTCCGCTGTAGTAAGGCTCATTGGTTACACAGTAGACCATTAGTGGCAGCTGCCAATTTGACTAGCCAGCAACTAGCATTTATATAACATGTTGAAGAGTTATCGGCTAGCCACAGTTTATTCAGTTTAAAATTGAATCAAATTATATTTTTTACATAATTGAGTTTATCTTGTTTTAAGGCTTTCTTATTTTTCTAACATAGATCAATAAAATAAGATCATTTAAAATACAAAATCAACTTTAAAATAATGTAATTAGTTTTATGTAAGCTTAAATTTAATTACCCTGTAAATTTAAAAACAATATTAAATAAAATCTGACAATAATCGATATCACTAATTGTTTTTTTTTTGTTTTTTTTTCGTTTATCTTTTTGTTCTTTTTTTTTTCTTTGCTTGTTTTTTATTTTTGTTTTATCAAATGTATTTATGATATCTATTAATTGAGATGATTGTATTGTTGTTATCATTGTTATAATTTGTCTTTATCTTTGTTTTTGTAATTATCATTGTTATCATTTTTTTTCATAGTCGTTGTTATCAATATCTGATCAATGTTTGTTATCATAATTGTAATATACATGATCATTATTATTGTCATTATTGTAATGATCACCATTATTGTCATCATTAATCATCATTATTAATGTCATTAATGTTATCATCATCATTATTATCATCATCATCACATCATCATCATCACCATTATTTATAGTGGATTCTAAAGATTGCATTTAAATTTGCTATTTTTTCATTCCTTTAATGTCATGTGTATTTTTTTTACTTTAGCAATTTCTATGTCAAGTTGGTCAGATTGGGGCAACTGGTCTAATTGTACTGTTACTTGTGGTGTTGGAGTTATGAATAGAACAAGAATGTGTCTTGGTTCAATTGATTTATGTGAAGGAAACACTACTGATATAACTGATTGTTCCAGTAATCAAACATGTACAGGTATTTAATGAACAAATGCTGAATGCCTTCATAAAATTATTGCTTTATCATCAACATTAACATCCTCTTCCATCTAATCATTATTATCATCATCATCATCATCATCATCATCATCATCATTATCATTATTGTCATTACCATCATTATCAACATTATTATCTTTATCATCACAATCATCATAATTTATTTTTCTCAAAAACTATTCCAATCTGTGTTTTATGTTAATGAAAATTAAAGTATATTAATGAGAAAATTAATGTAAATGTTTTAGCAAACACTTTATCAAATTGGTCAGATTGGAGCAGTTGGTCAAATTGTAGTGTCTCCTGTGGTGATGGAACTAAGAATAGAACAAGGATGTGTCTTGATCCAGTTAAATCATGTTTAGGGAACACTACTGATATAACTGATTGTTATAGCAATTTAACTTGTGCAGGTATTTAAAAAAGTATTATTTATCATAAATATCATTTTGATCATTAATGTTATCTTTATTTTCATCATTAATGTTATCATCATCATTGTTGTCATGACAATCTATTGTTGTCATCGTTCTATAATTTATCATCATGATTATTGTTATACTCTTTTTTTTTTCATTATTTATAGTGGATTCTAAATATATAGGTGGCATATATAGGTGGCATGATTTATCGTCATTTTAGCTATCATCATCGACATCATCATCATCATCATCGTCATCAGTATATGGTTCTCTGTTCGTTTTTGCAACAATGTCATCGGCTAACAGGATCTTAGATTATTGCTGTGTCACTTAGTATTTTTTAAATTTTTTTTCAGTGTTTCTTATTCGAAAGATCTATACTTTTTAGATTTGTTATTTTTAAAAAAATTTTTGATCATAAACTCTAATTATAATAGCCAAATTAAAAAATGCGTTGCATTACTGAATGCATTGAAAATGAGGGTTTATGCATGGGATTCATAAAATAGACGTTGGGGTATGTTTTTTTTTATTCATTTTCTTCAAATGAAGCTATAAACGAAATAAATCGACATTTCTAAATTTTGACATTTTTCATATCATGGCGTTTTTAAGTTTCTGAGTTCAAGTAAACTTTGTAAAATATATTAGTTAACAAATCTCATACTTGGGTTTTCAAAACAAAAAACATTTAATAAAATTTTTTTATATACGTTTTTAAGAAAATTTTCTTTGCTGGATGTAATTTTTACTAAATCGAATGTCTAAAAAATATAAACTTTGCTTTTGAAACGAAAAAGATTTTTTGAAAATTTTGTTTTAACTGTGAGGTGTTGCGTTACCGAAACTACACAGGTTGCATTACCGTACTTACTGGTTTTTGGTTATAAGTGAGTTTGAACGGTTTATTTTGCAATAACTTTTAAGTTATTGTTTTAGGATAAAACTTATTTACTCTTTTTTTTTCAAAAAATCAAATTGATGCAAATAATAATTGATTAAAATTGATTGGAAATTAATCAAAGTCTCAGAGGCGCATTATAGGACTTTCAGGGTTAAGAAAATGACAATCAATTAAAACAGGGGAAATTTTTATTTTAAATAACTTTTTAAATAAATAAATGAAGCTTTAAATACAATATTTATAGTTAGCAAATGCGTTCATTTTGAATACACAAATAATACTATTTTTGATTATTTTAGAATAAAAACTTTACAGCAATCTTCTGACATCTTTTTTTTAATTTAAGTAAAATTTTTTTTAGGTATTTTTAAGTTAATTTTGGCTTTATGAAAAAAATACACCAACAAAATTGTTGTCTTAAACAACCAGCAAACATTCTACAAAGGAATTTTAGTAGAATTTTAAAGGCATTTTTAAAGTTTCTCACTGTTTTTCCGCTGTAGTAAGGCTCATTGGTTACACAGTAGACCATTAGTGGCAGCTGCCAATTTGACTAGCCAGCAACTAGCATTTATATAACATGTTGAAGAGTTATCGGCTAGCCACAGTTTATTCAGTTTAAAATTGAATCAAATTATATTTTTTACATAATTGAGTTTATCTTGTTTTAAGGCTTTCTTATTTTTCTAACATAGATCAATAAAATAAGATCATTTAAAATACAAAATCAACTTTAAAATAATGTAATTAGTTTTATGTAAGCTTAAATTTAATTACCCTGTAAATTTAAAAACAATATTAAATAAAATCTGACAATAATCGATATCACTAATTGTTTTTTTTTTGTTTTTTTTTCGTTTATCTTTTTGTTCTTTTTTTTTTCTTTGCTTGTTTTTTATTTTTGTTTTATCAAATGTATTTATGATATCTATTAATTGAGATGATTGTATTGTTGTTATCATTGTTATAATTTGTCTTTATCTTTGTTTTTGTAATTATCATTGTTATCATTTTTTTTCATAGTCGTTGTTATCAATATCTGATCAATGTTTGTTATCATAATTGTAATATACATGATCATTATTATTGTCATTATTGTAATGATCACCATTATTGTCATCATTAATCATCATTATTAATGTCATTAATGTTATCATCATCATTATTATCATCATCATCACATCATCATCATCACCATTATTTATAGTGGATTCTAAAGATTGCATTTAAATTTGCTATTTTTTCATTCCTTTAATGTCATGTGTATTTTTTTTACTTTAGCAATTTCTATGTCAAGTTGGTCAGATTGGGGCAACTGGTCTAATTGTACTGTTACTTGTGGTGTTGGAGTTATGAATAGAACAAGAATGTGTCTTGGTTCAATTGATTTATGTGAAGGAAACACTACTGATATAACTGATTGTTCCAGTAATCAAACATGTACAGGTATTTAATGAACAAATGCTGAATGCCTTCATAAAATTATTGCTTTATCATCAACATTAACATCCTCTTCCATCTAATCATTATTATCATCATCATCATCATCATCATCATCATCATCATCATCATCATTATCATTATTGTCATTACCATCATTATCAACATTATTATCTTTATCATCACAATCATCATAATTTATTTTTCTCAAAAACTATTCCAATCTGTGTTTTATGTTAATGAAAATTAAAGTATATTAATGAGAAAATTAATGTAAATGTTTTAGCAAACACTTTATCAAATTGGTCAGATTGGAGCAGTTGGTCAAATTGTAGTGTCTCCTGTGGTGATGGAACTAAGAATAGAACAAGGATGTGTCTTGATCCAGTTAAATCATGTTTAGGGAACACTACTGATATAACTGATTGTTATAGCAATTTAACTTGTGCAGGTATTTAAAAAAGTATTATTTATCATAAATATCATTTTGATCATTAATGTTATCGTTATTTTCATCATTAATGTTATCATCATCATTGTTGTCATGACAATCTATTGTTGTCATCGTTCTATAATTTATCATCATGATTATTGTTATACTCTTTTTTTTTTCATTATTTATAGTGGATTCTAAATATATAGGTGGCATATATAGGTGGCATGATTTATCGTCATTTTAGCTATCATCATCGACATCATCATCATCATCATCGTCATCAGTATATGGTTCTCTGTTCGTTTTTGCAACAATGTCATCGGCTAACAGGATCTTAGATTATTGCTGTGTCACTTAGTATTTTTTAAATTTTTTTTCAGTGTTTCTTATTCGAAAGATCTATACTTTTTAGATTTGTTATTTTTAAAAAAATTTTTGATCATAAACTCTAATTATAATAGCCAAATTAAAAAATGCGTTGCATTACTGAATGCATTGAAAATGAGGGTTTATGCATGGGATTCATAAAATAGACGTTGGGGTATGTTTTTTTTTATTCATTTTCTTCAAATGAAGCTATAAACGAAATAAATCGACATTTCTAAATTTTGACATTTTTCATATCATGGCGTTTTTAAGTTTCTGAGTTCAAGTAAACTTTGTAAAATATATTAGTTAACAAATCTCATACTTGGGTTTTCAAAACAAAAAATTACAATTTCGCTTTATGAAAAAAATACAATTTTATGAAAAAAGTTATTTTAGTATAAAGTTTTTACAGCAATCCTCTGACATCTTTTTTTTAATTTAAGTAATAAATTTTTTAGGTATTTTTAAGCTAATTTTGGCTTTATGAAAAGAATAAAAAATTTTATCATCTATATTCTTATCTGTCTTTTTTTTTTGATCAGTTCCCCTGTATATATGTGACATGATTTGATGATGACTTGATGATGATTTGTCATCGTTATAACTTTTATTATCTTTATCGTGATTAACATCATCATCTTTATCATTTAATGGACCTATGTTCTTTATTGCAACTCAATGTTTGGCTTACGGGGTTTAATCTTTTAGTGTTTCGAATAAACATTAAAACATTTTTAATTATACTTATATATTTTAAAATTTATAAGATTTTTTTTCTTTTAGTATATGTATTTGTGTCAAACTATTTATAAAGCAGTTTCTGCAAAAGATGCGTTGCAATACCAATTTTTTTTAAATTGGGGTTTAGTTTAAATAAAAAAATAAAAAAATGTAAAATTATGATCAGAAATATTTTTTTTAAATTAACTTTTTTTAAATCCACTTGTAAGTGATAATAATTTAGATATGAAGTTTTTGCCATTTTATAAATCATCTCAGTATTTTTAAGTTTCTGAGTTTTACTAAACTATATATTATAAACTACTAAATAAATAATTCAATCTAATTATCTTTAAATAACAAGTTTAGGGTTCAGTATAGGATTGGATTCATCAGGATAGGATTGATTAGGCAGTTTTTAAAGTTTTTTTTTCTTTTTCTGATTGTTTTTTCATTTAATATGTAAAATGCCCAAAAATTTATACTTTACTAGTAAAAGTAAATTACCTATTTATAACTCAAGTTTTAAATACTATGTGCTGTTTGAACGAACATGCACATTTTGTAATTCCTTTCTTATGTATTTTAAAAAAATTAAGTCCAAATTAAGTTGATTTTTCACAATAATTTTGAAGAATAATATTCCTATTATAATTGCTGTCCAAGAGAGGGTCTTAATTCTAAAAAAAAAAAAATTGTATTTACTAATATCACTTTTTTTGAAAGGCATAGGTTTAGCCACACTATATTAATTTTAGTCTCTATATTGTGAAATTCATGTTTTAAAGTTCAAGAACAGAAACAAAACCTTATTTTAGAAACAAATATAATAATTGTCACTTAAAATTATAAAACAGTTTTTAATTTTGTCCTCTAATACTATTGTCTTTTAAGCTTACAAAGGTAATGAAAGCTGTCAAAAGGTGCCTGGCTGCCCTTACCTCTGAGAGGGCCTAAGACAGTCTCCATTTGAACTCATTGAAAATTAGCATATTTGTATTTTTAGTTACAGTAAAATTAGGCTATATGAAGATAGGCTATAACAAGATCATTGTTATCTTTGTGACACCTTACCTCAAACACAAAACGTTCTATATTTTTCATATTAGCATAGAAAAATAGCTTTTAAACATTACCAATATCAACCACAATTTTTGATATATCACATCACTGATATATCAAAAATTTTTACTCTTTAGTGAATTTGTTATTGAAAAGGATCAATTAGTACTACAGATTGCTGTAGTGAAATGTTTTAGACTCAAGTAATAACTAAAATAACCTAATATTGATCTGTTTTTGATTTATCATATTTACTGTTTAAATATAATGTATCTTATTTTCTTTTGAGGCTTCATGCACATTGGCTTATATAAATAGATCATTGGATAAAATTTAATTTTTTAATTAAATTACTGGCATTTGTTTTTGTACTGCTGCACAAAAAAGGAATTTGTTATTTTTTCTTGCTATAAGTAATCTTGGTATAAGTAATATTGCAGATTTATTTAACCTTGTCTGCTAGTAACGCCAATACTGTCTTTATAAAGCTATTAGCGTCAATCCCACATATTAAGCTATTAATGTCAATCCTACATAATAAGCTATTAATGTCAATCCTACATAATAAGCTATTAGTGTCAATCCTACATAATAAGCTATTAGCATCAATCCTACATAATAAGTTATTAGCGTTAATCCTACATAATAAGCTATTAAAGTCAATCCTACATAATAAGCTATTAGCGTCAATCCTACATAATAAGCTATTAGCGTCAACTTAATCATTAGAGTGTTAATATAATATAAATGGAAAATAAGCCTAATACAAAAACTTAAATTTGTAAGCATAGTTTATTTCTGAAGTAAATATAAACTTCTTTACATAAACTTTGATAATAATAAAAAAAAAACTCAATTCTCCTAAGTTTATATCTACTTAGGGTATGTTCGACACACATATAAGGGCGTTTTGTATTTGTATAAATATCAAAAAGGTTTAGGTATAATCAAAGGTTTTAAAATAAAAACATTTGCTAAATTATATTGTAATATAGCAAACTTTCAACTCTTCAAAATCCAGATTAAAAAAGCAACTTTGTTTTAATAAATATTTACTTCAAAATTGGAAACGTGAAGTAACATTTATTCAAGAAAGAAAATCCTTCTTAGTAGCATGTCTAGCTTTTCTTAATTGATTCAATCTTTGTTGTTCTCACTTTCTTTTATTTCAATAAGGAAATTATAAGATGTACATGATAACATCTTGCACATGATATTAAAAAAAATTTTGATACATAAAAAAAAGAACACATTATTAAATACATAATGATTTTAATAACATCATTGTAAAAATTAAACAAGAATGAATTTTAATAAAAATACAAATATTATTAAAAAAAAGAATATAATTATTTCTAGCTACCTAATGATTATTCTATTCACTAATGAGCCAGTGTCTGGCTAACTATTGAATAATCTATTCAATAGTTAACTGGTTAATTAATAAAGCCGAACTTGATGTTACATCCCAACGTTCAAAAAATTCCAGTCTAACTAGCATCCAACAAAGTTTTTCTTTAGTACAAAATTTTAAAATCAAAACAATTTCAACATTTAATTAAATAAAAATTAAAATTTTTGAAAGCTTTCTGAAACTTAAAAGTTCTAAAACTGAAAATCTGTAAAAATAAATGTGTAAAAATCTGATCAAGTGTAACAAAAATCAAATTAAAACTCAACATCAATAAAATCTCAACATAAAAAATCATACTATAATGATAAACTAAATCAATTTTAAAAGTTATTCTTTGAGTTTATTTTGAAATAAAATATAATAGAAGATAAAGAATAAATAAAAAAAGCAAAAACAGCCTATTAACACTAAGCACAGTAATAGCGCATGGCATGATATATTTGTAAGCACACATTACATTTCACTAAATATTATCAGACATTGTTCTGTGTCTCCAGAGTATGTTAAAATGGCTAGACAACACAACCTAATAAAACTGTTTGGCACTGCCAATAAACACAACAACTTAGTAAGATATTTTATAAACTAAAATACTTGAACTGAAAAGATTTTATTTATTACAATATACGAACAATCGAGCCACAATTATATTTAAACAATTTGAACAGTTATATATTAAAAAAGAATGCAACTTCTAAAATATTTCTTGTACATGGTTATTATCAATTTTAGTATTAAGAAGTATATTAGAACTCATTTATAACATAGAAGGTTACATAAATGTTTTAATAATGATAGCAAAAACAACACATTAGCACAAAATAACAATAACATAAATAACCATATAAATTGGTTTTGTTATGTTATCAGCAGGGGTGTGGAGTCATAAAAAAAAAAGTAACAACTCTGACTCCATTTGTTGAAATTTTTTGAGTACAACTCCGACTTCGATTCCAACTCCAAAGCAAAATTTTTGAAAAATTCTTTGAATTTTTTATAAAATATTATGCAATAAGTTAAGAATTTCTTTGTTGACAAATTTATGAAACGTTCTTTGAGGTTTAGTATGAACATAAGGTTAATTGAATGTTTTGTACATGCGTGTGCAATACCGACTATTAGCGTCGGATTCGCGATTTTGTTTAGCGACTCCGACTCCACAGCCCTCTTTACCAGAAAAAAAAGTTATTTTTACTTTCATTATGTAAAGTTCCAGTTTCGCAATAACTGTTGACTAAAGATTAATAAAGTAAATTACACATATAAATTTACTAAAGTAAAACCATGTTTCAACAGTAAGCAAACTAATAAGGTGATGTCAAAGGCAACTAAAAAATAATAGTTATATTTAAATTTATGAAAAAAAAATTTAAATTCAAAATCATTTAAATTTAAGATTATTATAAATTGTCATTATTTTCTAGCTGTTTCTTCAATGAAACTTTAGATTTTTTTACAAAGACTTAACTTAGGATAAAATTTTTTTTATAAGTGTTTAATTAAGCCTGATTTCTCCAAAAATAATCAGGTTTCATGAAAAAGAAAATATTATCTTTGTGTAAAATTTTTATCTAAAATAACAAAACTAAAAAGTAAAGAAAAACATATACTTATAATCAACTTTTCAATAAAGCATTCAACTTTAAACAATAAAACATATACTTATAATAACTTTACAAAAAAACATTAAACTTTAAGCAATAAAACATGAAAAGGCATTATCAATGTTTCTTGATTACATCCAGCAAATTTTTTTTTTTCGTTCTTTAATATTTTTTAAAGATATATTGTACATTCTAGCAGTAAGCAAGCCATATGTATGGGTTATATTCAGTCTGTTTGATACCTACCATTTATATTGGGTGTGTGCCAACTTTATGTTCGATTTCCCTGACTTTTACATGATCCTCTAGTTGTTTTTCATGATTTAATTTTAGTTGCAAAAACTCAACTACAGAAATGATGGACTTGAACACCTTTAAAAAAAACCCTATTAATTAAAAGTATTTAATCATCAGTAAAATTAACAATAAAAGTATGGAGAGAAGGTTATAAAATAATCAAGTAACTAAAATCTATAATTAATTAATGACTTACAACTGACATGACAGTTTGAGGCAGAACCATTTGCCACAACATTTCTAAAGTTCAACAAAATAAGTTTTAGCTACTGGTACAAATAATATTTATTTAAAATAACTTTAAATCATGCTTTAAGTTAAAGATTAATGAATAATGTATATATATACAGTTGACAATGTGTTGAAGAAATATCTTGGTCTGGCTTAAGATTACACATAAAATGATAAACTTGACCACATATTCTAAAACATGGCAGCTTATGATTCATAAGTTAAACCACATTTAGCTATAAATGAAGCAAATGAATGACGTTATCAGGCATTATAATAATATACAAAAATAAGTATTAAAATAATAAATACAATTAATGTAGAGAGAAAATAAACATATCTTCTAATAAATAAAGTTCTAATAAATATATCTTGCTCAGCAATATCACTTAAACTGCCTTAAGACAAAAATGCTCATGCAAAGCATGAGGTTTTTTCTTTGTTTTAAAACATTTAAGTTAATTTAGCACACTAAACTGTCTACAAATGGTAAAACTACTAACAATAAGTAAACACCTAATGACAATGATTTTAATAATAATGGTTATAATAACAAAAATAATGTTTATAATAATTAAAATAATAATAATGATAATAATAAAAATTGTATACTTGAATATATCTATATACACATTGAAACATTTTTATGAAAAATAAACATATACATTTATATATATATATATATATATATATATATATATATATATATATATATATATATATATATATATATATATATATATATATATATATATATATACATATATATATATATATATATATATATATATATATATATATATACATATATATATACATATGTGTATATATATATATATATATATATATATATATATATATATATATATATATGCATGTTTTGTCTTTTTTGATAATCTTTCCCAAGTGTTTATTCCTCGTCGGAATGGTGAAAAAATTATCCAAAAAAGTTTGCAACAAAAAGGAAACACTTTTTTGCTATTCAAAGAATATATGAGTCATGTCCATTCAAAGATTTCTCCATTCTTCATTTTGAGTTATAATAATTATAGTGAAAATTGTTTTTTTAAAATGTAAGGAAAATCTCAATCTTTTTGAAACCACATTTAACAATTCCTCACCTCTGTGCGTCAGAAACATCATGAAGCCAATCAGAAGGATCATCACTGAAAAATAAGCGGTATTGTTATGCCATTTTTAGACTTTTAGACATATCAACTTATCTGACTCAACTCTAGAATTAAAATAAATACATTCAGAATTATTTGTAGTTTTTGTTGGTATCAAAACATTTCCAAGCTGAACTGCTGGTTTCAAAAAATGTGTTTGGTTGGGGTAATTTGTGGTTTCCTCCCTATCTGCAGCTTTTTCTCTTTTATTAGTGGCACCACTTTTCCCTTTTTTCATACCAATAATTATATCATGTAAAACTAATAACGAATGATAATTATAAATTTTTGTAAAAGCTTTTTTCATTGTTTGTTTTTTATGATATAAAAAAATAACACCGCATAATAATAATAATAATAATAAAAAGATCAATTCAAAAATGCAAAAATAGAAGTCAGTATAATAATGGGCTTATAATAATATGGACTTTAATAAAAACAAATGTAAAGCGTTACAGTTTTTTTTCGTTTTATCTAATGTATTTATATTTACAGTTTTTTTTCGTTTTATGTATTTATGTTATTATCTTTTAATTGTGATGATTGTATTATTTTTATCATTGTAATAATTTGCTTTTTTTTTTGTTTTTGTCATTATCATTGTTGTAATCATTGTTTTTCATGGTCATTTTTATCAATATCTGATCAATGTTGGTTATCATAATTGTAATATAAACGATCATTATTAATGTCATATTTGTAACAATCATCATAATTGTCATCATTAATATCATTAATGTTATTAACCATTTATTTAACCATAAAATCGAAAATTACAAATTTAGTTATAATTTACAAAGTTAGGTTCGGTGTCACCCATATAGTTAAAAACTAGTCAATGGAGTGACACCTAATAAAATAAACAAGTAAAATAAAAAGATAATAAGAAATAATAAATAAAAATAAACTACAAGTAACAAAAAAAAGAAGCAATAGGAACAATAGTCAGAACAAGAATATTAAAGGCGTAAGGCTAAGAAAAGTGAAAATAAAATGAGAGAATGAATGAATGAGAAAAGATGAGCGAGAAAAAAATGTAAGAGAAAACAAATATTTTAATGACACAAGTTTAGAATGATAGAGTGAGTGAAAAATTTTTGTAGAAAAATTTAAAAAAGCAAAATAAAGGCAAACTTAAATTAAAAAGTATATACATACAATATTAAAGCCTATATTACGCATTACATAGTGTATATTACACATTACATTATAAAAGTATATATAAAATATATAAAATGCAACAACTTTAACAACAACTTTATTATCATCATCACATCATCATCATTACCATTATTTATAGTGGACTCTAAAGATTGCATTTTAGTTTGCAATTTTTTAAGTCCTTTTATGTCATGTTTATTTTTTTACTTTAGCAAACTCTATGTCAAGTTGGTCAGATTGGGGCAACTGGTCTAATTGTACTGTTACTTGTGGTGTTGGAGTTATGAATAGAACAAGAATGTGCCTTGGTACAATTGATTTATGTGAAGGAAACACTACTGATATAACTGATTGTTCCAGTAATCAAACATGTATAGGTATTTAATGAACAAATGCTAATTTATTTTATAAAATTATTGTTTTATCATTAACATTAACATCCTCTTCTATCTAGTCATTACTATCATCATCACAATCATCATCATAATCATCATCATCATTATCAACATCATCATTATCTTTTGTATTATCATTATCATCATAATCATTAATATCATCATTTATTCTTCTCAAAAATTACTCAAAGTTGCGTTTTATATTAATGAAAATTAAAACCAAGGATTTGTCTATGGTAAAGTCATGTGTAGGGAACACTACTGATGTAGCTGATTGTTATAGCAATTTAACTTGTTCAGGTATTAAAAAAGTGTTATTTATCAAATTGTCATTATTTTTGTTATCAATGTTATCTGATATCATCCTTTTTATTATTTTAACCATTATCATTATTCTTTAGTTTATTGTCTTTATTATTTCGAAAGTTCTTTTTTTTTTGTATTGTCTCCCTAATTATCATCATCATCATCATCGTTACTATCATTTTCATCATCATCAACTTCATCATCATCATTAACTTTATCATTATCATCATCATCATCATCATCATCATCATCATCATCATCATCATCATCATCATCATCATCATCATCATGTGGATCTATATTTGGTCTTGTAACAATAATTTTGTACTTTTATTTTTGTATAGTTGTTGCATAAATAATTTTTTTAATCTAATTCATTTTATATAAAGACTTTTAGGTTTAAACAATTTCAATCTTTTTAAATATTAAAATCTTTTTTCTGTTTGGTTATTTCTTTTATCATAAAAAACTAATTAAATTAAACTGGTTGACAAAAATATTGCAGAAACATTTTATTTTAAAAATTGCTTTTTTTGATTTAGGTAATGAGAAGACAAGATTTATGAAATAGTTTTGATATCGGGTGGACACGGAAAAATCCGGTCATCTTTAAATTGAGATTTCTCCAAAACCACAAATGCTTTTTATTAATTTTTTTTTTTTTAATTAAACCTTACTTCCTTATCTTAAATGGTGTTGATAAATTTTTGTTTACAAATTAATGATTTGCAAAATGTTTTGGAAACAAGTTGAGGTGCATAAAAAAGTTGTGAAATTTTTTTGCAAAAATCCATTGACTTCCTATCACTTGATTGCTAAACGCACAAATGTCCCAAAATCTACAGTCATAGATATTATAAACAAGTTCAAGACTACTCAAAGCTTCGAAAGAAAACTTGGAAGTGGAAGAAAAATTTTTTCCATAAATCCAAAAAAGTAAAGTCGATTTTACGTTCAATAGCAAGAAATTCAAATCAGTCACAGCAAGATCTAGCAAGAAAATTTAAGACTTCCCGTTCTTATATTAAAAAAGTACTTAAAAATGCTGGAATTAAAGCATTTCATAAAAAAAGTACACCTAAGAGAAGCTTAAATTGTGAAATTAAAGGAATTCGACGCACAAAGAAGTTGGTTAAAATAATGGCGGATAAAAATATGTGCATAATTGAAGACAACAAAACGTATTGCAAGGCAGATTTTTCACAACTTCCTGGTCAACAGTTTTACTATGAAAACAAAAATAAACCTGTCAATGATCAATTTAAATATATTCAACGAGAAAAATTTGCATCCAAGTTCCTTGTGTGGCTAGCAATTTGTAGCTGTGGTATGCAGTCCTCTTGTTTTGTCACTAAAAAGACCTTGACTGCCAATCTCTACATCAAAGAATGCCTCCTAAAAAGACTTTTGCCTTTTATAAAAAAACACAAATACCAATGTCTCTTTTGGCCCGATCTTGCTGCCTCTCACTATTCTAAAAAAGTTTTACAGTGGTGCAAAGATAATAATGTGAAAATTGTTCCTAAAGATGCGAATCCTCCAAATCGTCCTGAAGAGCGCAAGATTGATGATTTTTGGGCAATAGTTAAAGGAGTTCTTCGTAAGACAGGTGTATAACAAATAATAAAAAGGACTTCCAAAAAAAGTGGATGAATGCCACCAATATGGTAAAAAAAGAAAAAATCTGTAAAATGATGGCATCAACCTGCTATAAAGTTCGATTTCTTGCCAAGCAACCCATCAAGCCCCTTAAAATTAAGTTGAAACTCTAATTTATGTAAACACATTTAATAATAAAAAAAATTGAAATAAAAAGCATTTATGGTTTTAGAGAAATCTCAATTTAAAGTTAACCGGATTTTTCCATGTCCACCCGATATGAATTTATTGTCTTAATGTATTTGTTTAGTTTTAAGCCCTTTTATTGGGGCTTAAGGGAGGTATATATTTTAAACTAACACATTTGTTAAAAATTATTCATATATATATATATATATATATATATATATATATATATATATATATATATATATATATATATATATATATATACTTATATGCATACATATATACATACATATATACATACATATATATATATATATATATATATATATATATATATATATATATATATATATATATATATATATATATATATATATATATAGCAACAAGTTAACAAAAAAACATGTTTAAAGAAGCGTTATTTTTCACATAATTGTGTAATATCTGACACTTTTATAAAATGAATTCTTTAGAATTTTTTGTTTCTGCTTTTTTTAAATATGTTTTTAAAGTCTAACATAATTATTTAATTTTAGAGTTTTCTGAGTTTTTTAGGAGAATTTTAATAAACATTCTTGGTTCACATGTTTTTAATTTTTTTATTAGACATTATATGTGTTTTTTAAATTTTTTATATGCAAGCGCTTGACCAATTCCATAAAAAATAATCAATATTTAGTAAATTATATGGTTTTTTGCTTGAATTTTTTTGCTTGAAGAGCGTTTTTTTGCTTGAATTTTTGCTTGAAGAGCGTTTATTTTATCAAAAAAATGTCTTTTTTTTATAACAACTAAGTATTGACAAATATAAAAAAAAAATTTGTCAATTACTTTAAAAACCCTTTGTTTTTAAAGTATTGTAATTATAAAGATCTTATTTATTACAGGAGCCTGAAAAGTATTGATTTTTAAAAGTATTTCAAAGTACTGCAATGTTAAATTTAATTTTAAACTGCGTTTAATTTTAAACTGTGTTCAAAATTATTTAAACTAATATAATATAAGTTATTGAATCTAAATTCTTCGGTATTTGAAAAAATTTTATTTTCTTATAGATTAATATCCTTATAGATTATTCCTTAACACTTCTTATCCTTATTATAATCTTTTGTTTTTTTTATAACAATTTATTCATTTATTTTAATTTTTTTGTAGTTAATGTTGTTGTTTTTTTATAAAGATAATAAACAATGTTAATTATAAACAAGAAAGATTTTATTAGTAACCAATAAGATATTTTAAAATGTAATTTATGTTCATTAATATATTATGTCAAAAAAACTTCACACATTGAATCAACTAGAAAGAAAAAATACGTGAAAATTGTGAAAACTCTTAAACCAGTTCTCCCTCTTTTTTTTTTTTTTTTTTTTTTTTTTTATAAAAAAAGTTGATAATTTTTTTTTGCTTATAAAACTTTATGATAATCTCTAAGTGAAAGACTTATATTTTATGTAATGAATTAGTTAGCAGACAAAAAAAAACGTTAATAAAATTTGCGCAACTATTTTACATTCATTTGAAACTAAATTTTGCATTCATTGTGTTATTATTTTACAATCCTTTAAAACTAAATTTTAATTTTTAAATTCATATTTAATTTTAGAACTAAAAATAAAAATTAAAACTTTTTTTTATTAATTTTTTTGAATTCTTGAATTTAAAAAAATACAAAAACTGTCAATAAAAAGCAAAAGAAGCTCTTATTTATATGAGTGTATATATATATATATATATATATATATATATATATATATATATATATATATATATATATATATATATATATATACATATACAGAAGTGGCCATTGAATTAAGGCACCTCAGGGTTTTTGGATAAATTTAGTATAATTTTGAATATGCCTCTTAAATATGTCATCAAAGGTTATTAAAGTTCTTTTTTTAAAGTAAATAGTAAATAAATTAAATAAAGTAAATATGGGTAAAAAGGCAGATATGAGTGATTTTGTTAAAGGTCAAGTCGTAACTTTGCATGGTGAAGGGTACTCACAAGTTAATATTAGTAAACGTCTAAAAATATTGAGATGCGCTGTACAAAACGTTATAAAATTGCATGGGAGTTCTAGACGTCAAAATTGCCATGGCGTTCGCAAAACTACACCCTGTGATGATTGATAACTGAAAAGTATTGTGCAAGCCAGTCCTCACACTTCCTTTGCCTGAGTTACAACGGAATTGGCCACAGAAAGAGGCATTAATATTAGTGCTAGAAGTGTTCGCAGAGGTCTGTCTAAAGAATTTAAACTGCATGCGCATAGACCAGCAAAGAAGCCATTTCTCACCAAGAAGCAGCTTCAGGCATGTGTGAAATTCTGCCGTGATATGAAGAACAAAACTGCTGAGTGGTGGACTACTGTGATGTTTAATGACAAATGTACTTTCCAGCAGCTTCGTGGTTCAGGGTACAGTTATGTTCGTCAACATGTAGGTGAAAGACTCAACCCTAAATACACTCTGAAGACTGTTAAACATCCACCATCAGTTATGGTGTGGGGAGCTATCTCAGCTAAGGGTAGATGCAGAATCCACATCTTTGGTAAGGGCGAAAAGGTCAATGCTGCAAAGTATATACAGGTTTTAGAGTTTAAGGTTAAAACACATATAAACATTTCTGGAACTACCATCTTTCAACAAGACTCAGCACCGTGTCATACTGCAAAATCAATCAAGAAGTGGTTTCATGACAACTGTGTGCAACTTTTGAAGAACTGCCAATCAAATTCGCATGATTTGAACGTTATTAAAAATTGTTGGAACTTAATGAAAGCTAAAGTGTCAGCACATCGTCCAATGTCAAAGGAACATTTAAAAGATGTATTGAAGCAGGTGTGGGTAAATGAAATTACCCCAGAGTACTGTGACAAGCTTGTAAAAAGTATGCCTTCTCGTATTCAGGCTGTATTGAAAAATCATGGTTACCCTAGGAAATACTTAGATTTTGAGACTTTTTGTTTGTGAATTTTAAAAGTAATGCTGCTAGATATGTTTAAGAACATTTTATAATACTAATAGTACATATAATACGATTTCATAAAAGAGAAACTGGACTTGCTTAATTAAAACTGCAATTCTGCTAGGTGCCTTTATTCAATGGCCACTACTGTATATATATATATATATATATATATATATATATATATATATATATATATATATATATATATATATATATATATATATATATATATATATATATATATATATATATATATATTAGGGGTAGTCATTTTGAGGGAATTTATGAAAACAAAGTACATACCCAGCTAAAGTTTGAGCAAATATGCTAAAACTTTGTCAAAATATTTTTAAGGTCAATCGAATGACTTTTAAGTCCACCTCAAGACTAAAGTTGTTAAGAAATTGTATTTCAAAAATGGAAAAATAGGATGTGTTCACTGTGTTTGAGGGGATTCAAATGAAAAAATTATTTCCTTTTTTTTTTTTTTTTTTTTTCTGTTATTTGTTATCTATATTTTCATTTTAAACATGTCATCGTGTTTTTTACATATTCTCGGTGAAAACAATATTTAAGAAATCAAAAAAATGAAAATTTAAGTTATGCAAGTTGTTATGAAATCAGAAAATTATGTATTTTCATACTTAAAGTTCATTCAGATGAACAGCCGGAAAAATTCCGGCTTAAATCAACCAAAAAAACAAACTATTTTGAACTAAACAAGTAATTTACTATTTAATAAATTTCTTTACCAACACTATCAAGACAAAAATTATGCATTAATTGAAATAAGTATTTTAAAATGAATAAAAATTTCCCAAGCCTACAATTTCCTTTTCTTTAGTTTAGAGAGTGACATCAGGCTTTCTGATTGAGTTGCTTTATGTGCTTGAAGATACCACCTTGTGTAAAAACGTACTATGAACTCACTAATGAGTTTCAAATTTTCGCATAGATAATTATTTTCTTGCACAAATGTCTGTTGCTTGCAAAAAAACAGAAGTATAAGGTAGTATAAACTCTTGCTTAAAAACCTAGCATGATGATCTGCTCCAGATTTCTTTAATTTAAAATTTGCAGAAAGTGATAAATACTGCATGCTTAGTTCACCCAAGGGATAAATACTGCATGGTTAGTTCAGCCAACTCTCTTTGATCATTTCTCATATTGCGTTTTTTAGTAATATAGGTCTCACAGTAATCTAATATTTTCCTTGCAGCTTCCTTCAAAACTGTTTCTTCCACGGTTTTCTTATTTAAAGAGGTCAGGTTATTTTTGTTGTATTTGAATTTAGGGTTCACAAACATATGTTTGAACTTTACAAATAAGGCCCTACTCTATTCTCTTTTATCACTGCTTCACAAAAATGAACCATTCTAAGCTCAATGATATGATGCCTACATGCTAGTAGAAGAAGGTATTTGTCTACCTCTCTTGCAATCCTAATAAGTGATTCTTTCTTAGAACCAGTATTACTTGAAGTTGTATCAAAGCATACTCCGCATACTTTTGAAATGAGGTCATATTCTTCTAGTATTTTCATGATGCCTATATACATATCTTCACCTGATGAAGATGGCAAGGCAGGTACTCCAAGAAGATGTGACACCCCCCTCAATATTGGCAAGCACAGCTAATCTTTCATTCTTCAGTCTTTTTCCCTGATTCATTTCAAACAAAGTCTTTCGGTCAAAATGAATTATATAACGGCTTTTTTCCACAGATTTCTTTATATCTAATTTAGCAATTTCTGCAGTATACTTGGTAGTTTTTTTCATCTTCCTTAATGCTGTTTAAACACTGGCTTTGCATTTTGCAATATCAACTCCACAATCTTGAAGAATTGCTTCAGTTACTTTTTGTAAAACATTGTGGGAGATATCATTTGCTGTAGCTATAGTAGATACATTTCCATCAAAAATATTCTTAGGGGCTTTGGCAGTAATGTTACAATCATCTGCTCTTCTATGATGCCAAACTTCATGCTCAAATTCTGAATCAGAATCAGCTTTAATGTCCTTCCTAATTTGATTCTTTAAATCTGTAGAACCAATCCAAAACAGCTTTTTCAAAAATGAAATAAACTCCCCTTGATTAACCTTGTCTTTAGCTGTTCCTCTGTATTTATTTCTACTCAAATCTAAATACTTCTTGCCATCTTCATTAGGTTCTTGATAATATTTTTATATGACATTACTTAAAATCTAGCTTTAAGCCATGGTCTTTTAATTAAACCTAAAATGCATTCACAATCATCTACTTCACATCTCTTGTAACCCTGAATCTTGTTAGGAAAGCATGAGAAAATTGCTGACTTCTTAACATTATGAGGAAGTAGTTATCTTCTGTAGGCAATGTGTTGAAGAATATCATTTCAGTAGGGAGTTGAAGACCTTAAGAAAAAAAAATTCGATATTTTAATTTTTAATATTAAATTTAAAATTCAAAACAATTTTTTAAAATTAGATATGTAATAGCTGGTTCAGCCTTATATATGATAAAAAGTTTGTTTTTGCTTGATCTGAGAAACTTCCTCTTCTCAACATCTTTTACAATTTTTTTTTCCATTTTTGTATTTAATCTAAATAGATTTAATTCATCTGTAATTAGTTAAACACTTCAATACAATATTACTTTATATTGTAATTTGATTAATAACAATCAAGTAAATACGAAAGTTATTTACAAAAATAAAATAATGTAACACAATTTCATGTATAATTTGTTTATAAAAACTCTTAGTGACTTAAAAATACAGTGCAGGATCTTCAGCACATTTTCTTCTGCATTATTTTATAAGAATTTTTTTATCATTGCTGATTTTCACAACCTTTTGCGTAACATAAAATTTTCATTTTTTTCTTTTGTAAATATCGTTTTAACCAAGAATATGTAAAAAAACATGACATATCCTTTTAAAATGAAAATATAGATAACAAATAACAAAATAAAATTAAAAAATGGAAATATTTTTTTCATTTAAATCCCCCTTAAACACCCTGAACATTTTATGAAGTACAATTTCTTAACAACTTTAGTCTTAAGGGGAACTTAAAAGTCACCAGTAAAAAAATTTTGACAAAGTTTTAGCTGGGTATGTACTTTGTTTTCAAAAATTTCTTCAAAATGACTATCCCTAATATATATATATATATATATATATATATATATATATATATATATATATATATATATATATATATATATATATATATATATATATATATATATATATATACATATATATATATATATATATATATATATATATATATATATATATATATACATACATACATACATACATTCATACTCTTCTCAAAAACTACTCCAAGCTGCGTTTTATATTAATGAAAATTAAAGGTCAGATTGGAGCAGTTGGTCTGATTGTAATATTTCTTGTGATAATGGAATTAAAAATAGAACAAGAATATGCCTTGATGCAATAAAATCGTGTGTCGGAAACACTTCTGATATATCTGATTGTTACAGTAATTTGACTTGTGCAGGTGAAGACAAAATACTTATTTATATACAGTTTATTATACAGTTTCTTGTTACCATCATCACTATTAATGCTGTTTAACATTAATAGTGATGGTGGTAACTGCACATTAACACTTCCTTACCATTAATATGATTATTATCTTACATCATTATGATCACCAACACTGTTGTCATCCTTACCATAAGCATCATCTTCACCATTAACACTCCTATCATTATCATGATCATTATTTTTGTTGTAAATTTTGATGATAGCAAATGAACTGAATGCAGTGAAAAAAAAAGTTAAGAAGTTAAGATTTATTTTGAGTTACAGACATTGAGTTGTAATAGCAAAAAAAAAAAAAAAACCTAACAAACACATAGTAATACAGAATATTTAAGTTGCTTTACTGCATGATTGATGATGATGATGACCAAATGGTTGTCATCACCATCATTACAGTTACTTTTCTCAACAACTATTTAAAATTATGTGTTATAAAAATTGAAAAATTTTCACTTTTTAAAAAATCAAAGCCATTTTATGTAATGTTTATGTTATTGTTTTAGCCAACCCTATATCAAATTGGTCAGATTGGAGCAGTTGGTCTAATTGTACTGTTTCTTGTGGTGGCGGAACTAAGAATAGAACAAGGATGTGTCTTGTTACAATAGAATCATGCATTGGAAACAATACTGATGTATCTGACTGTTACAGTAATCAAACTTGTAAAAGTAATTAAAAGTTAATCATTGTTATTATTAATATTCATTATAATTATTCATTATAACTGTTATTAACATCATCATCTTTATCCTTATTGTTGTCATTTTTGCATTTCTCCTTCTTCATTATCATCATATGCAGAATCGTGGTAGAACACTCAGCTAACAATCAAGATGTTTCAGGTTCAGTTTCACTGTATGCCTTTAAAAGTAGCACACTAAATCTTTTTTAATTTTGTTTTATAAGGTTAATGTTTTAGAGGTTAAGGTTAAGAGAGTTAAAAATAAAATAAAAAAATCAAATTTATAAAAATTAAAAAAAAAATGAGTAGCCTCCTTGACTGTAGTGGCCTTTCTCTCTAAATTCTTGGTGAATTTAAAAAAGCAATTTACCACCGTTATCACTATTAATAATGTTATCATTGCTATCATCAGTATCACAACCAACATTTTTATGATCATCATCACAATCATCATCACCATCATCATCATCATCATCATCATCATCATCATCATCATCATCATCATCATCATCATCATCATCATTTTTATCTTAATATGAGATATTATTTACTTTGTTTAATATAATTGATTTCGATTTTTAAAAATATTTCATGCAGTTCAATGTGAAATAATCTCACAAATCGAAAAGTACTTGAGTGTTCCAGAGAATGTTTTTAAAGATACCAATTTCGATTTTGTCTTTGTTTTGCAGAAGTATGATTTGCACTGTCTAGATAATTCTGTAATCAATCTTGATGACTCATTATTCAGCAGTGATATATCAGATCTTTCATGGGAGTTTGATTTGTACTTTGGAGATGGAAAACCACTTTTAAGCAAGCAAAAAGTTAACTCTAACAGTTCACTAGATTTTCTGTTTACTTATAAGTATGGAATTATATTTATTTTATTTTTAATTATTATATTTTACTTATTTACTAATAAGTAATATTTTATAAGGAAAGTAATAAGGAATTTTTTGTTGCTTTGCATAGTTATATTAAATAGTAATAACACTAAATTAAATTGGTAAAATAAATATATATTAAGTATGCATGTATATGTATATATATATATATATATATATATATATATATATATATATATATATATATATATATACATATATATATATATATATATATATATATATATATGTATATATATATATATATATATATATATATATATATATATATATATATATATATATATATATATATATATATATATATATATATATGTATATATATATGTATATTTAGGGCTCAAAGTAACAAACTTTTTTATTCCAGAAAATTGTCAGACAAAAACTCAAGTTAGACAGACATGTCCAATAAAAGCTAAAGTAATGCGATCAAACACCATTTCTGACTACATTTGAAATATTTTGTTTTTACAATTTGGTCATGTCTCCTTAACAATGAATTAGCTCAAAAAAATGATGTATTCTTTGTTTGTTCAACTTCAATTTTTGTTATTTATAAAAAATAAACAGTTTAAAAAATAAATTTTGTATGCAATACTGAACTTAATTATAATTTTGGAACAACTAAAATGATTATAAAATAAATGTACACATAGTCCAAACAAAATGAGTGATAGGTATCATTTTTTATTTTAAGTGCTAGACAATATCCGATGACTGGCAGCTGTTTCGAGCCCTATATATATATATATATATATATATATATATATATATATATATATATATATATATATATATATATATATATATATATATATATATATATATATATATATATATATATATATATGTATATATATATGTATATATATATATATATATATATATATATGTATGTATGTATGTATACATATATATATATATATGTATGTATGTATACATACATATATATATATATATATATATATATATATATATATATATATATATATATATATATATATATATATATATATATATATATATATATATATATATATATATATATATATTGCAAACTTATAATCATGTCACAAATGTAAATGTATGTACTGTAATGTAATGTAACAATTGTAATGTAACAGTTCAAATGTAAATTTTTGAACTGTTTTTTATCAGGGATCCGCACTTTTTAAGTGTCTTCTTGCAATTTAGAACAGCAACTATATGAACTATGAATTCAAACAAGAAGAAAAGTTCAAAATTAGAAAATGTAAATTTGAAAAAAAAAATCATGTGAAGTGTAGTATATAAAGTGTTATATATTCAAAGTACAACAAAATAATTTGCTTTATTTTAGAAATATATATAAACTTATAAAATGTTATGTAAAGTAATAAAATGTGTTATGTATAATCAGCTATGAATCAATTTTTTTTTATTTCTTCAAAAATTTTCCAGTCTGCATGGACAAAATCTAGGTGTTCTCCATGCTTCGCAGTTAGTCTAGACCAAGTTGATTTGTAGATATTTACCTAAGTACTGAATAATCTTTCATTAAACGCAGAAGGTCCTAAAAATTTTCTTGTTAAGTATGAGAGATCTAAAATTTTATTGTTACTAGAGTATTTCTTTATACATGTTTCTTTGTAATTTCCCCATCATTTATAAAGACATTCTTTTTGAGACAGATTAGGCCTGATAAGTAAAAGTTTATTTCATTAATTTTAAATAATTAAATAAATTCAAAAATAAGTAAATAAAAACTATAATACTAAATATTAAACTTTATTATTGAAATCACAATTAAATTTTAATGAATATTAAATGACTTTTCATAAAATAGTTACTATATTGAATAAAAGGTTTATTAACTTAATATTATTAATTATCTTATCAACTTAATATTATTAATTATTCAAAAAAAAACAGTTAGCAAAGTTCTTATTTCAAAATTATTTTGAACTTATATTTTTTCCTTTTTCTCAAGATAAATTTGTGCCTATATTGAAAGTTATTTAAAGTTCACTGGTTTCATTGATTTTGTTAATTCAGTGTCCGCTGGTACTTTTGAAACTTGATAGAAATTGTATATGCTTTCTGTCATTTTTAAATTTTTGAGTGAAGAGGGAGTTTCTTGAGTTAATTCAGATGAATTACTTGCTTTATTATCTGATTGAGTCAAGTTGTCAGTAGTGAAAAGACTATTTGTAATATTAGTTTTATTTAGGTTCATGCATTGCTCTTGAATATTTAGTTTAATTGTATCTTTCTCCTCATCTGTTATGATATAATTAAGTTTGAACCTTTGATCCAAAACTGTAGAAATGTTTTTAGTTTTTGTTACATTTAAATTTTGGAAAATCTTAAAAAAAAATCCTCTTTTTGCTCTTCTATTACTGTTTTAATTTCACTTTTTTTTAATTTCGCATTTTCTGATGCATAGGTAAGGTATGCTTCTATTAAAATTATAAATGGAAAAATTTGAGACACCGGTGCCCTATTTTCACTTATTTCTAGTTTTTAATGCTTCAAAATATTTTAAGCATTTCAGCTAATAACCGGTTTTTTGTAAGATTGGAGGCAATTTTTGATTTCTTATAAAAAATAATATCAGAGGGGTCTTTTGTTCCACTAGCCTTTCTAGCATGTAAAATGTTGAGTTCTGTTTTGTTACTACATCTTGTATAAGTGAATGTAGGGGTAAATTTAACTTTTGCTAAATTTCATGTAGCATGTTCAGTGAGGATAAAGAATTGTGAAAATCTGAATTTTTCTAGCCTAAGCTATCATTTACACATTTTTGCCATTTGAATAGCTTATCAGTTATACAAAGCTAAAGAGTTATGCAACTTAGAAAACTTTTTTCTAAACAACTTCTTATATGGCCAATTTCTTGTTGACAGCATTGTCAGAGAGGAAAAAGTACACTTTGTTAGTTGGTATGTTCCATTCATTTAAAGAATCCTTTTAAAACTTTGTTTTTATTACACCTGTGTAAGAGTGTTGTCATTTTTATAAGTTGAGGCATAGCTGTCATTGGTTTAAATTCTGAATTTATCCAGTGTGCTGTTAATGAATAAAAGCTTAGAATGTTGTGATAAGTCGTCCATCCATCAGTGGTGAAACTTAAAAAATCTGCTTTTGCTACATCATTCATAATTCGCATTTTCATTTTTTTATAAATTAGAGAAACATTTGTTTCCAGCATATGTTTTCCAGAAGGTATAATATATCTAGATTCAAGATGCATAATTAGTTTACTAAATCCTTGGTCTGTAATTAAAAAATACAGCTGAATGTCATGAGCATAGTTGTTTTGATATATGAGCTCTTTGTTCACTTGATGTCTATTTTGATTTCATTTTAAATTTATTAATAGTGTTCTCTGCCTTAGGTTAATGTTTTTGGTCTATTGTAATATTAATGCTATTGTACTCTTGGCTTGAAATAACAAACTTTTTTGTACTGTGTTTGTACGGTTCAAGTGTTCTCGTTCTACTGCTGATTTGTTAACAATAATAACTGATAGGTTTTATTGTGCATTGCATAGATGTGGAGAGGCTAAGGCTTTGTTTTTTTAAAAAGTTTGACATGTTCATCTTCTGCATAAGCTTTCTTTTTACAGTGTATCAGTTAATGTAAAGTTAAGGGTCAGATTCAGAACACAAATCAAGGTGTAGATTAAAGTTGTCTGGAAAATGTCACAAAATTAATTTAAGTTGAAAAGAACACAGTTTTGGGAAGACTGAGTTTAATAGTATGATGAATACTCAGTGGATTTAACTTTGATGGTTACTCAGTGGATTCAAATCTGTTTTTCTGATTTGCTACATTAGTGTCCAGGCCAAATATGTGGCTACTTGAGTCGTTGCAAATTCATTAGCCTCATTACTGCTAATAATTCAAAAATGTATCAAAGGATTCATTATGTGATCTTAGCAACCATCATGAAAAACACTGGCAGAGACACTTCTATGCTCAATATGGCACTGCTAATACCCTGATATTTTACAGCTTTTGATAAACTTGGCATCTTTGTAGGTCTGCCACAAAGTTTAACAAACTTTATTGTTAGCTGGTTTTAGAATCATTAAACTTTGTTTCAGCAATGTGCTCTTATTAGGATATAGTTATCTGATAAGACAGAGTATAGTATATATCTACATTCTATATAGTATATATCTACATTCTATTAAGTTACTTCATAACTCTACAGGATACAGTTGCATACTTACTACTATTTTCTTTTAATTCATAGTTAACTTGTTTTTAATGCATATTATGAAGACACTCTGTTGCAGTTATGCATCAAACGGATCCCTAAAACATTTATGGCCTCATAAAAAATTCAATATTTAAATACAAATCACTATTATTATTATTAATCAGTATTGTTGCGATTAAGAATTTAATAAGAAATTCAATACCCTATTATTCTTTTCTTTCCAACATACAACAATCAAAAAGGTATCTAACCATATTTCTAAACTAAATAAATCTAAAGCACAACAAAAGGAAAAGATACCAACTAGAATAATCAAAGATAACATTATTTTTTCTGATTTAATATGTAAAGACTATAACTACGCTATTTCAAACAAAATTCAACATCTAGACCTATTTAAACAACAAACAATATCCCGACCTATTAAAAATTGTTGATATTACTCCAATACACAAAAAAAGGAGCAGATAATAGCAACTACAGGCCAACCAGTATTCTATCCAACATATTTACGATATATGAAAGATGTATGTATGAGGATATAGTATGAGGATATAGCTTCTTTGAAATAATTTTATTTAGACATCAATACGGTTTTTTTAAAGGTTATAGTGCTCAACAATGTTTGGGTAAATGGCCAAAAAATGGAGAAAAGCTTTAAATTACAAGAGATGCTTTGGCACTTTACTAACTGATCTCTCTAAAGCCTTTGATTGTATATCCTATGCGTTACTAATCACCAAACTAGATGCCTATGATTTTAGTCAAAACAGTATGTTTATGTCTTCCTACCTAATGAATAGAAAACAATTAGTAAGAATAAATGATTCAACTTTTACACTGATATGCTATACAAAGTTCCGCAAGGTTCAAAACTTGGACCTCTTTTATTTAACATTTTTATATGTGATTTATTTTTTTCCTTTCTGATGTTGAAGTTGCTGGATATGCAGATGACAATATTTCATACTTCACAAGAAAAGATGTTACTTTTGTAACAACCAACCTCTAAAATGCCACAAATCAGTTGTTTATATGGTTCGAAAATAATGGAACGATGGCAAATCTTGAAAAATATCACCTTATCATTAGCTAACATAGTAACCTTGAAGTTACTATTTCTAATTTAACAATTAAAACATCCAAAAATGTTAAATTACTCAGAATAAAACTAATCCCAAATGATTGTAAAACATCTTTATCTTTGAAGGAATTTAACCTTAAAATAAAAAACTGGATTCCCAAGCAATGTCCATGCAATTTTTGCATGGTTTTTATTTAAAATGTCGGATACATTAATAAGCTAAAGTAAAATGAAATATTTATATTTTATTAGTTTTTGCCACTCTCATTGGATGCCACTATTACTTTTTAGACTTTTTATTACTATTATTAATGTATTTATTGGTTATCTTACAATTTAATTTATTATATTACAATATATTACAACTTAATTTAGTACGTTATATTACCATTTAATTTATAACCATTTATATTTATTTTTGAAGGATCAGTGTCAGTTGACTTAAATTAGCCAATTATAAACCTATCAATGTAACAATGTGTCAACTGTAAATAAATTACAAATAAATAAATGTGTGAAGTGTTTTACAGTAATCCATAAAAAGTAAATCCAATAAAGAATGAGAGTTTTAACTTAGTCATTTTTAAATTTGTAAATATTTGAAATAATTAGTTTTATGTGATAATTTCTATTAATATAATTTCAACTAAAAGCCAATATTTTAGTGTTTTTTGTAACTATTCAGCTTTATTGTTTAAAATTTTTTTACTTATAGTTATGGTGAATGTGGAAAATACACAATAGAATATATTATCAAACCTTTTAGTGGCATGTATTCATTTTTAAATGCTGAGATATTTGATTATGTCAACATAACTGTGTTTTGCAAAATGTCATCAGTTAAATTGGTAAGTAATTCAACCTCAGAAACATACCCTAAAGTGCCATTGGAAAAAGAATTAACTTTTTTAATAAGTCAAGATTTAGGTTCATTTATTATATACACAGTAGATTGGGGAGATAATGTAGTCCAATTAATTGATCAATCACAGAAGAAAAGTCCTTTACCATTTGTTCTCTCACATACATATAAAAATGCTGCAAATTATACTGTTAATGTAATTGCAAAAAATGCATTGCAAGTAACAAGTAGTAAAATTATTGTTCAAGTTCTAGATTGCTCTTTTCCAAAAATTACTTTTCAATATGGAACTCTACAAAATCCTTTAAAAATTTTTAATGCTGTTAAAGAATTTGTAGCATATGTAGATGTAGATGACAATGATTGTTTACTTGAAAATATTAGTATTTATTGGATATTAACAGGAAGTAACATGACAAATAAGTCTCAGGGAGTTTTAAAAAACAGTAAAATAGTATACTCTTTAAAAGGGAATTTGGATTATGGGTCTTATATTATCTCTTTGTATTTTTCATTCAATATGTTTACTAATACATATATATCTTATTTCATGGTTGTTGATTTACCGTTGTATATTGAGATTGACAATGGTGAATTTCGTACTGTTGCTTACAAACAGACACAAAATGGTAATATCTCTTTTCAAAATTTAAAAATAACTGCACTTGTAAGCTCTGATGGGAGTCAACCTAAAATAAAGTATCAAGGTTTTGTATATGAATGGAAATGTCGAATTGTGAGCAACATCTCATTTGCTTTAAATAGCTTAATTGCAAATAAGATGGTTAATTCAAATTTGGAATCCAATACTTGCTTTAATGAATCATGGATGGATATAACAGTTGATGGTCCAGAGCTTGTATTTAATACCCATATGTTTTTAGAAGGAATAAGATATCAGTTCCAAGTGATTGGTACCAATCTTGTTAAAAATTCACAGAGTAACTCTTTTATTCAAGAAGTTATGATTAGTCCTGGTGAATTACCAAACGGGACGATCAAGTATGTATTATATTACAATATTTGAAGTTTGTTTTATTGCTATATATTTATTATCTATATAAAAAATTCTATATCAAAAAAGCTGAAAGGAAAAGTATAAGTACTAGTATAACTAAGTATAAAAAAGCTGAAAGGAAAAGTACTAGTATAACTACTATAAGAGTATACTAAGTATAACTACTATAAGACTCCAAAGTAGAGTTAGAATTTTTTACAAATTTTTTTGAATTTAAAAATCAATTTTTGCCCTTTTTTAGAAAAAACTTTACCCCTTTTGTATCACCCTTACATCTCATCCAATTTAAATATCCAACAAAATGGTGACAAGTTCTAATACTTAACAAAATGGTGACAAGTTCTAATACTTAACAAAATGGTGACAAGTTCTAATACTTAAGTTTTATTTCACTGCAAATAAAATTAGGCAAAGCTACAGATATGCGGTCTAAAATAATTTTATTTTATCGCTTGTTGCGCTTTTGTATGGAAATTTGCTCAAAATGGTAACTTTTTAATATAAACATGCAGAATATTTATTGGCTTTAGTACATACATTGACTATCTTATAGCCTGCTGCTACAAAGGAGTGCTAAACTGTAGCATTACCTAAAATTACATTGTATTTGTTAAGAATTTTGTATTTTTTACCTAGGTTTTCCCATAGTTCTTCATTGCCCTGTAGGACAATGATTTTTTGATTAAGATTTTTTTGGTGTTTGAGTTTGAAGTTAACTGTCAAAAATCAAGCAATCTCTAAACAGTTTCAGATAGTTGAGGTTGTTCAAACCTGGGGGGGAAAAAAAAGCTCTAACATTTTCTGCACTTGCTACAAATGTTAAAGTAAAAAGCTGAGAAATTTTTTTTTACTTGAAAAACTGATGGTATAATGTTTTTTTTTGTGTTTAAAACTTATAACTATATAAAGTTTGAACTCCCCAAGATATGCTTTGCTATGCTTTATTATACTTTGTTATGCTATGGCTTATGATATGCCTTGTTATGCTATGGCTTATGATATGCTTCGTTATGCTATGGCTTATGATATGCTTTGTTATGCTATGGCTTATGATATGCTTTGTTATGCTATGGCTTATGATATGCTTTGCTATGCTATGGCTTGACAAACCCATTGTGTCACTATCTTTCAATTTTCTGTTTATTGAGGTTTACTCTTTAAAGTCTTGGAAAGATTTTTTATTATTTTCTTTTTCGTGTGTCAACGACTTAGATGCAAAATATTTGTTGCACAATTGTGGCAAGCAGTTATAACTATTTTTATTATTATAAATACAACTGCTATACAAATAATGTGAGAGTCTAACAAATAATTTGTGGACTTTGGCAGTCCCACTGTTTTGTAGTATTTGTATAACTTTTTGGCTAAACAATTATCAAGTCTATTTTTAAATTGGATAACATTATCAGTTTTAACATCTCTAGAAAGTTTATTCCAATAAATAACAACTCTATTAGTGAAGAAGAATTCTCTTTGGCCAATGTTTATCTTTGTTTGCTTGATGGTAGGGTGTTGATTATTTTTAATTTCTCCTGCAGGACCTTCTAAGACCTCCTGCAGGACCTTCTAAGACCTCCTGCCTGACCTTCTAAGACCTCCTGCAGGACCTTCTAAGACCTCCTGCAGGACCTTCTAAGACCTCCTGCAGGACCTTCTAAGACCTCCTGCAGGACCTTCTAAGACCACCTGCAGGACCTTCTAAGACCTCCTGCAGGTTCTTCTAAGACCTCCTGCAGGACCTTGGAGCTGATGTTAGTAGAGTTGATTTATTGGAACTTTCCAATTTACTTTTAGAAAGAAAAAATTTATTTTTAGAGAATTTAAAATAATAAATTAACATTTGAATAACAAGAACTTTGAATCTAGAATCATAATTAAGTTTAAACAAAGCAAGCTATAGTTAAGTTTACACAAAGTAAACTTAAAATGACATTTTTTTGAGTTAGAATGAATTTGACCATAATTTAATTTCAGATAATAACACTTCATACATGTCATCAGAAAGATTTTCAAACATTAAACTTTCTAAATATTTAAAAAAAAATTGTAAAGTTTTTTTCATATGGAACTGTTTTAATTCATTTCAACTGTGATTCAGTTATTAAGCTAAAGCTTACTGAAGAATGAAGAAACTTGTAGTGCTAAGTAGTGGTCTGATTGAATGATTACAACTTATAGTGCTAAGTGCTGGTCTTATAATTGTTTTGTAGATAGATTTAGGACAATTTGAAAAAATAAGATCTAAAATTTTTTTATTTGATTTAATTATGTTTTGTGTATCAATCAGATATTTGAATGCCACCACCATAATACTGCCACCATCACTAAAGCAATAATGCCATCACAACTTATGCAATACTGCCACCACCACTAATGCAATGCTGCTACCACCACTAATGCAACACTGCCACCACCACTAATGCAATACTGCCACCACCACAAACTTTATCTCTGTTTTTATTGTACAAAAAGTATTTCTCAATTGAGTTGTCTGATCTGGTGTTAAACCATGACTCGGTAATTGCTATTAAGTGATAGTTAAATATTGCAATAAATGTCTCATTCTTTTTTTGGTTTAAAGAACTGGCGTTGTACTAATAACATGTTAAATTCTATTGGTTAGAAGTCTGAGATTAAATAATCTTAATTTCCTTGAGTTCATTCTGTATGACCCATTCTGTAGAATAAGCCAATCCGTATTAACCCAAAAACCCAATAGAATTTCTTCCCATTCATAACACCATATTTCTTGTTAGTTAGCCTCCCGTCTGTGTCAGGTTTGACATTTGGAAGGTTAGAGTTGTGCAGATTCCTTTTAGTTTGCAGTTGTATAAATATTTTTCTCAACTCTCTCTCTCTCGGATCTATCAAGAATTTTACTCAGTTCTCTTATTGGTCTATCAAAATTCTTATGTTATAAGTTTTTTTGAAATTTTTAGAGCGGTTGAGATGAATTAGTTTTAAATTTGACACATATCATTTTGATAATTTGAATAAACAAATTTGAATAATAAAATACAGAATAAATATATAATAAAATAAATAAAAAAAAAAGAATAGCGTTTTTCGATTAATGAAAGTAAATTTCACTTTAATTAAGAGTTTTATCCCTGCTTTTCAAAAAAAGAAAGAAAAAATATTCAGCCTAATTTTTATTTGTTTTGAATAGTTTAGTCCATAAAAATTGTTTTTTTAAATAAAAATTTTATTTATATTATCAGAAAAAGATTCTCTACTACATGATAGAACTAATGCCTAATGTATTTCTTGTCTTAATTGCAAAATAAAAATTTAAATTAAGTTTTTTTTTTTTTAGTCATATATCCTCCTGCACATAACCTAATTACCTGCATCAAAATAACCAAAAGAAAAAAAAATTATGTATTTTTTTTAATATTAAAAATTGAGTTTCATTTATTATTAGATAATTTAAAAATTAAATTACAAATAAACAATAAAAAGATTTGAAGTAAAATGAAATCCATGAATCAAAAGAAAATTTAAAGATTAAATTATCAAAGTTGTTTTATTGAAAAGTTTTTTGTATATTTAAAAATTCGTATTTATTTTTGAGAGTTAATCACTGATTGGCCATTATTTTACTGTGCACATATATACCACATGTCATATATATAACATACAGGAAGTTTGTATACATTGTATATGTCATATATATATAACATAGAGGAAGTTTGTATACATTGTATATGTCATATATATATATATAACATACAGGAAGTTTGTATACATTGTATATGTCATATATATATATATATATAACATACAGGAAGTTTGTATACATTGTATATGTCATATATATATATATAACATACAGGAAGTTTGTATACATTGTATATGTCATATATATATATATAACATACAGGAAGTTTGTATACATTGTTTATGTCATATATATATATATAACATACAGGAAGTTTGTATACATTGTATATGTCATATATATATATATAACATACAGGAAGTTTGTATACATTGTATATGTCATATATATATAACATACAGGAAGTTTGTATACATTGTATATGTCATATATATATATATATATATAACATACAGGAAGTTTGTATACATTGTATATGTCATATATATATATATATAACATACAGGAAGTTTGTATACATTGTATATGTCATATATATATATATAACATACAGGAAGTTTGTATACATTGTATATGTCATATATATATATATAACATACAGGAAGTTTGTATACATTGTTTATGTCATATATATATATATAACATACAGGAAGTTTGTATACATTGTATATGTCATATATATATATATAACATACAGGAAGTTTGTATACATTGTATATGTCATATATATATAACATACAGGAAGTTTGTATACATTGTATATGTCATATATATATATATATAACATACAGGAAGTTTGTATACATTGTATATGTCATATATATATATATATAACATACAGGAAGTTTGTATACATTGTATATGTCATATATATATAACATAGAGGAAGTTTGTATACATTGTATATGTCATATATATATATATAACATACAGGAAGTTTGTATACATTGTATATGTCATATATATATATATATAACATACAGGAAGTTTGTATACATTGTATATGTCATATATATATATATAACATACAGGAAGTTTGTATACATTGTATATGTCATATATATATATATAACATACAGGAAGTTTGTATACATTGTTTATGTCATATATATATATATAACATACAGGAAGTTTGTATACATTGTATATGTCATATATATATATATAACATACAGGAAGTTTGTATACATTGTATATGTCATATATATATAACATACAGGAAGTTTGTATACATTGTATATGTCATATATATATATATATAACATACAGGAAGTTTGTATACATTGTATATGTCATATATATATATATATAACATACAGGAAGTTTGTATACATTGTATATGTCATATATATATATATAACATACAGGAAGTTTGTATACATTGTATATGTCATATATATATATATAACATACAGGAAGTTTGTATACATTGTATATGTCATATATATATAACATAGAGGAAGTTTGTATACATTGTATATGTCATATATATATATATATAACATAGAGGAAGTTTGTATACATTGTATATGTCATATATATATATATAACATAGAGGAAGTTTCTTTTCTACTATACATGGTATTGTACAGTCAATTTTTTGTTTTTTGAAAGTACCTTATATGGTTAAAGATTAATAAATTTTATTTAACATCATAGACACTTAACTAAATTAGCTCATTAAATTTTTGCTATACTATTATATCAAAATGAATATTGTTAATAAAATTAATGTTTGCAATAATTTTTATTTGAAATTTAATCACATGATCAACTTTTTTAATTTTTAAATTCACAACTTTTTATTGCAACATCCAATTTCATAATTTATCTAATTATCAACATGATAAAAATTTGGTTTTGTTTTTTATGGTTTTATAATTGCACTGAAAAAATGAATAAAAGTTATGTGTTTTTTTATATAGTTTCATAACCAACTGTGCTGAGAATAAAAGTTATTATGTTTTTTTTTTAGTTGTGTAACCAACTGTGCTGAAAAGTTAAACATAAAAGATCATGTTATTTTTCAGTTTGCATGCTTAAATTGTGATGAAACCCAGTAAGTTTTTTCTAAATTTTTTGTTTACTTTTTAATTGGCTACATTGGTTACTTTCCCATTTACTTTGAGTAATTTGAAAAAGTTTTTTTTAATTATTTGATTACTATTTAGATTGAATATATGTCATTTTAAATATATAATTTTAATTTGAAGTGTTTAAAACTTGTAATAATTTTCTTTACAATGAATTAATCAAGTTGAATAAACTTTCTAAACTTGATAATGCAAATTGCATATTTTGCGTTTTCTTGTTACAAATATTTATTCCAATAATTGAAAAAAATTCAAAAATTTGTTTAAAGATCACCTTTAAAATATGTTTATAGATAATATTAAAATTTTGTTATTAGATTGTCTTATATTTGGGAAGTCTTGAATGATGATGGTGAATGGCCTGAAGAGTTATTGCAAGAAAATTCAACAACAACTGGCTTTAAAAACTCTTATCTTGTAATAAATGTTGAAACATTATTGGCTTCAAAAAGTTACACTTTTACATTAAAAGTTGGATATATTGGATCATTTTATAAAGCTTTGTTTAATGTAAAAAAACAAACATCATCCTTGCCTAGTTCAGGAAGTTGCTTTATTAGGTAATTTTTTTTTTTTTTTTTTGGAAGGAATCTCTTACTAAAAATAAAAAAAAAAAAAATTTGAGTGTCCCAATAGAAATACTAATTTGAGCATATGCAGTATGCATATGGGTAAAATCTTGCAGAAAGCTTCTTACCCAAATGATTAGATTGACAAAATTGACTCTGAACTGCCTTTTTTAAAGGGATACAAGGCAGTTCAACAAAAAGTCAGAGACTTTTTGTTTCACTTTTTGTATCCCTTTTTTTATATAAAATTATTAATTTAAATCATGGCAAATTATATAAATACAAATATACTACATAAAAAAACTATCCTCACATGTCTTTTACAAATTTTCATGCCTTAGGATAAATTTTTTATCTATAGAATCTTTTTTTTTACCTGATCTATTTTCTCTTTGTGAAACTTATTTAATATCAGCTGTTTTATCTTTTGATATCAGTACCCAGCTAGCACATATACGTTGTTAAAACATTAGAACAATGTCGCGCTTTTCGTTGGTCCAATATCAGCTGCCAATGTTGTTTTTATATCATTATGGTTACAATGTTGTATTCAATATTATATGGAATTAAATTTTCATTAAATTCTATTTTCTTTATATATATATATATATATATATATATATATATATATATATATATATATATATATATATATATATATATATATATATATATATATATAAATATATATATATATATAATTATGTATATATATATATATATATATACATGTATATATATATATATATTTATATATATAAATATATATATATATATATATATATATATATATATATATATATATATATATATATATATATATATATATATATATATATATATATATATATATATATATATGTATATATATATATATATATATTTATATATATAAATATATATATATATATATATATATATATATATATATATATATATATATATATATATATATATATATAAAACAACGCTTGATCACTAGAACAAAAATCATGTTTGTGTTGATTGTGGTTTGATATTTTAATAATCGCTGAAGATTTTATTTAAGTTATATAATTTTGCAATAGCAATGTTTGGTCGCATACATTGGGTCAACGTTGGGTTTAGTTCGTAAAAACAATCAACTTTTTGTGATGTATTTACATACATTGGATCAACGTTGATTTATATACATTGAATCAACATCAAAATATATACATTAGATTAACGTTGGGTTTAGATCGTAAAAACAATCAATTTTTTTTTATGTATTTACATACATTGGAAAATGTATTAACCAAATGACATTGGATCAAGGTTGGTTTTGCATTGGAAAAAAGAGCTGAAGTTCGCAATTGTTTTACACAGGGCTTTGATACTATTTTTGTTTATACTAGAGTCGAGGTCAAAAAACTGACTCCAATTCCATAAGAATATTCAGCTCCAGCTCCAGAGCGGCTCCGCAAAAAAAAAAAAAAGTTAAAATTTATTTTAATGTTTTATGACAGTAACTTAAGTACTATTAACATAAATAAGTCTCTCTACACTTGCTTCTGTGATAGGTATACAAGTGACAGCTCTGTACACTTCTTGTATTCTTTTTGGGTATTCTTCAATTCACTCAAAAACTGAATTCACTTTTGAATGTTCCAATTATTCCATTATCCTACATTTGTCTAAAAAATTTGTATTAAAACTATTTTTATCAAAAAAATTGAAAAAAGAAGCATGACCATAATTAATTTTGTTCACAGTTATCTTTTTTTCTTTTTTACTTATCATGCTCCTTTTCAATCTCATCCTCTTCTCCATCAGAATTCACTTAAAACTGAAAGAAGTGAAATACTTAAAGTACTGTAGATAGCACAGCAGTATTTCTTATTTCTTGACCTACTATTATGTTCTTGGAATTTCTTTTATAAATTTTTTCTGCTATTATTTTTAAGCCTTGTTTTGCTTGTAATATTTGGTTTTCTTCCAATAGTATTGCATATCTAGCATCAACATAAACTGCAGCTAGAAATATATCATTATCAAAAGGTTTTTCTACTTGTCTCTGCATAGAATTTGAAATGTCTTCTTCATTCTTCTCTCGGTCAGATTTCAATATCAATCATTCCTTTAGGAACTCTCCTGGAGTAATGTTAATTAACTGTCACATCATGTAAAATGCGGTAGTGATGTAGTGGTAGAGCGCTTGCTTCATAAACGAGTGGTTCCGAGTTCGATCCCCACCACGTCCCTGGTAGTACCGCGCTCAACTCGTTTCTCCGCGCAGCGGCCTTGTTCGTCAAGGTTCGTGTTTCGGAGTTATAGAGTTGAGAGAGGGTTATAGCCACAAATAAGTAGCCTCCTCGTCTGTAGTGGCCTTCTCGGCCTTGAGGAGGTGAATTAAAATAAAAAAATAAACAAAATGTGGCTTTTTTAAAAAATTGCAAAGATGACTAGATTTATCCCATATTTCAAGGCGTAGAAAGAATATCTGGTCAACTACAGCAAATTGCTTACACTGGACACATAAGTAATAATCTTTTAATTATCTGGAATGTAGAACCCCAGCTTGACTCATTATTCAAAATTGAAACAACCTTGCATTGCTTTATTGCTAAAAATATTATATGTAAGTTTCTTAACTTTTTTACAACCTGACAGACTTTTGCCAAAAGTTCAGTAATGTATGTTTTTTTTAAATCTTACCAATAGCTAGCTGCATAGTGTGAATAACACAGCGCATCAGCTTTATGTCAGTAGACAATTGTTCACACGATTTTGAGTTGATAAAGACTATATTTTCTTTCTGAGCTCTTTTACTTTCTTCTTCATTTGTATCCTGTTGTAAAAATTCCACTTTTTATTAATCATGCAAAGCTTTATCTCAAAAAAATTTTCATCACCTGAATATTTGTTTAAAATTGTGATTGCTCTAATCATATTGGCTGCATTGTCTACACTTACACATACTATTTGATCATTGCTGATACCAAATCTATATGGAGTATCTTCCACCATTTTTTTGATAGCAACAGAGTTACGCTGTCCTTGTGTATCTATCAGTGCCAAAATTTTTAAATTTTTTTTGCATAATAATATTAAATATTTATTTCCAAACAGTTATTTTGGTGTCAATTGGTTGCATAACTCTGTTATTCACTATTATTTTAATAATTCCAAATTTAAAAGTTTTATCACTAACTTGATTTATTGTTTAGCTACTAGTAATAACAAAAGAATTTAAAGTAATCTGTTTAGTTTTTTTAGTATTGAAATCTTGATAAAATATTTTTGAAGATTTTCTTTGGGCCATAAGGCTCATTTCAGATTCAGCAGTTTTATATTCTGATAGATGTGATTTTTCCAAATGCTGTTTCATGTTGTAAACTTTTGATTTTTTTATTTGTATGGCGCATGAAATCACTTTATCATTTTAACTTTTGATACTATAAAACTAATAAAAATAATGAAGAAAATGACAAATTTTCAAGATAAGAGAAATAATAAAAAAGATAGTATAAACAAAAATAGTATCAATAATATCAAAAAAAAAAAACGTTTAAATCTTTTCCTAATTTTATTTGGAACTTACATGTTTATATCTATTTTAAAAATGTTTCAACTAATTAAAAACGTTAAAACAAATCATGTGACTTAACACATTGACAAAGTATTTTTTTGTTAAGGATCGTCCATAAAGTACATACATAAAGGATCATACATAAAGTATGCTCGAATGGGGGATAGAAGTCAATTACAAAAGTTAGGAGACACTAAGTTAAAAAAAGTATCATAAAATGTTGAGTAGGTAGGTTAAAATGGTATGTACTTTTAGGTAAAAAAAGTACCTACTCTTTTAATTTCAAAAAAGTGTAAAGCAAAATGCAGGATGTTGGAAGGGAGATAAAAAAAAAAAAAAAAACTTATGTACTTTATGGATGATCCCATAACCAATCATTGACATTGCTCAGAAGTATTGTTTTAAAGTCACTTATCATAATCTACAATATGAACCACATGACATATTACACAAAATAATTGAATAAAAATTAAATTCTCAAAAAAAAATTTTTTTTTTTTTTTTTATAAACCCTATGAAAAAATGCATTATTTAGAAATTATAATTATTTTAGTAATCATAATTGTTTAAATTTTTAAAAAAAAATCTCAATATATAAAATAATAACTTTATGGAAATTTGATATTTCAAATTATCAAAAGAGTGGAGCTGGCTCGGAGTTGGTTCCAAAGCTCTGTCACAAAATACTTTAGCTCCAGGTCTGGCTCAGCTCTATGTAAAATCACCAGCTCCAGATAGCTCCAGCTCCGGAGCTGCTTCAAAGCCCTGGTTTTACATACGTTGGCCCAATGTAAGTGTGCTAGCTAGGTATTGGCAGTGTTATATTTAAAAAATGTTAATTTGCAAACATTCCAATAGTCAGATGGTGACTATTTAAATAATAAGTCATTTAATTGTCCTGAAATTAGATTTGATTCATCTGACTGATAAGCATCTGTTTTTTTTATCTTCAAAATCATTTCCCTTTATTTACTTTTGTTTAGCATTACTTCGCTCAATCACTTTTCTTTTTTTCTTTTATTTCTTCCATTTTTCTTGTTCTCTCTTTTTTTTTTTTTTTTTTTTTTTTTTTGTCTCAATGCTATTATGATAAAGTTAATTAGGTCCTTTAAACCGCTCCCCTGCTGGTTCTAAAGTTCAAAACATTTATCTTTTTTATTTTTTTACCAGTTAATTAACTCATGACTTGTTTTTCAGACAAACCAAATTACTTTAAAATGTTCATTTGTTTTTATTACTAGCATTTTTGTTGTTGTGAATGCTATAATTTCAGTTGTTTTTATTACTACAATTTCAATTGTTGTAGTTGCTATCATTTCAATTGTTGTGATAACTATCTTTTTAGTTTTTTGTGGTTGCTATCATTTTAGTTTTTTGTGGTTGCTATCATTTTAGTTTTGTGTGGTTGCTTTCATTTTAGTTTTTTGTGGTTGCTATTATTTTAGTTTTTTGTGGTTGCTATCATTTTAGTTTTTTGTGGTTGCCATCATTTTAGTTTTTTGTGGTTGCTATCATTTTAGTTTTTTGTGGTTGCTATCATTTTAGTTTTTTGTGGTTGCTATCATTTTAGTTGTTGTGGTTGCTATCATTTTAGTTGTTGTGATTACAAATATAATACTTATAATTCTAATTTTTATTGTTAATAATAGTTAAAGTTTTACTTTTAGCCCACAACAAGGATACGCTTTTATTACAAAGTTTAAACTTATTTGCCAAGATTGGAAAGATAATGAAAATAGTGTGTTAACATATAAATACTTTTATGACAATGGTGCAGCAGAGGGTTATACAATGACAACGAATGAACATGTGGGTTACCCATTATTGAATGCCAAATCTCTTGAGGATCCAATTCTCATAAATTTTGTATTGGGACCTGGTAACATAAATAAAAACTTTTCAGTTACTATTATTATTAAAATTGTTGGAATTTATAAAGCCTTCATACAATATCCTGACCTATTTGTTCAGGTAAAATTTTTACATTTACTACAAATTAGTATAGTATAAATTAAATAACAAAAGTAAGAAATTAAGAAATAAATAAAAAATCATAAGTTTGAAATAAATTTTTATTTAAACGCAATAGGAAAATAAAAATTAATTTAAAAACTCCAATTATTTGTATAAGATTAAAAAAGTTCTTGCTAGCGTTTAACTTTTTTTTTTTTTTAATTTCTCGATTGATTATTTTATTAAAAAGAACAAACTTGACTCAAAGATAGCTTGGTACTCAAAGCTTGGTATTTGAAGTTTGGTATTCAATGTTTATATTTTATTAGTGCAATTCCTATTAATAAAAGTAATAATGTTTTATCTTTACCCCTGAGTAAATTAGATAAAGAAACGTAAAGCATAGTTATAGAAATCATAAGAAGTCATTTGTGTATCGTTTGTTATCTTTTGTTTTTGGTATAAAAACTTAAAATTAAAGCATATGTGAAGAAGTGAAAGTGAAGTTGTAAAGAAAAGTATTTGTGTGTAAAAAACAACAAAGATATTTAAAAGTGATATTAAACTTGATTTCAAGTTTTGGAGAAAAAATGTTTTCGAAAAGAAATTTTATTAGTAACATAATAGTTTTTTAAATTTTTAAATTATAGATTATGGAATAATATATCTACCTTTAAATACCTTGGATTTTTTAAATTTATTTTTAAAGTATTTTTTTAAAAAAAGACTTTACAAAAGATATTATTTCAAAAAACATCTGTTTTTTGAAATAATATCTTTTGTAAAGTCTTTTTTTAACATAAAAACTTTTTTTTAGGTTTTACCTTTTGAAAAAAATATTTCAACTCTACTTGCTGATATTAAAATTCCAGATATTCTTACATTTTCCAGTGTTCTACATGCCATATCTCATCTTTTAAATTATTATTCAAATACTGTCAAATTGATGAATCCTGTAATCACTAACAACATCACAGGTTTTACTGAGCCTAATGATAATGTTATACTTAACAAGCAAAGCATGCTGGTTCAACTCCAATATGTAAGTTATACTTTAAATATGTGTATGTGTTAATTTGTTTAGAATTTATTTAATCAAATTTTCATTTAAATAAATGAATTGATTTTCATTTAGTTGCGTACTAGTGTAGTTGATGTGCTTTTATTGCAACCAATAAAAAGTTTAATGGACTTAAAAGATGTTGGAGATGTTTTATCAATTGTTTTAAGTGTGCCAGATGAGCTTAATCTAGAGACTAAGGTAACTTCAACAAAAATATAACTAATTGTTTTTTTGTTGTTATTATTATTGTTGTATAAATTACTTTTTATTTCCAAATTAGTTTAAAAGTTTATAAAAAGTTTTTTTTGTGTTTTTGTCTGAAACTATATATCGAACTGTAACAGAGATTTTCAGAGTACAACATAAAGCTGTTACCAAAAATGTTCTACAATGGTTAATGCATTTTTATTATTGAAAGAATATATTTACATGGAAATGAGGATAAGTTTTATTATGTTTTTTTTAATACTCAAGTTTCTCCAACAAAGCTGCAGCTGCAAGCAAACGCTATTAAAAGTTTAGAGTTACTTGATAATTAGGAATGTTGTTAATGAATAAGATTACAATTGACTTTCATGTTTCCTAACTCATTTAGTTTACAATTGAAATATTGTAAACTGAATGATTTAGGAAATATGAAAACAGAAACAATTCCAAAGCATTGATGTATGAAGAAAAAAACTAGACTAATAAAGTTTTTAGGAACAGATACAATAAAAGGATTGCATCATTTTCTAAATGTAATACGCAAGATTGAGTTTTAGTTGATGAAACATAAGATGGTAGCTTTATTAGTAGCTGGTCTAACTTGTCTAAAGAAGAAAGAGTATCATTAGAATAACCAAACAAAATATGACAATAAAATTGAAAATATTTTCTGCCAATATTAGTGTTGATATTGTTGATCAATAATGCCAACCTAGCTAACCCAAGAACGCCACTTATATGAGGTGATAGCGTACACATTAAGGTACAATGTGATGCAAATTTTGTAATCTTTTAATTTTTTCTACAAAAAAAACCAAACCAAACTCTTGATAAAATTTCAGTTGGGTTGATTTAGTGGTTAAGGAATAATGGCAGTTTTAGTTTCATATTTAAAACAATATATTGTTAGTTTTTCGCTACTTCAAAACCTAAAAATGTTAGCGGACTATCAGTTGTTAAAACACTATTTTTTACATTATATTACTATCAAACAGCATCTGATTAAATTGTAGGACATCGTACGTGATTTTTTCCACAAAAAATTTATTCAAAATAGTCTTTTAGTCAAATACTCTTCAATATTTTTAAATGCAATATTTAAATTGATAATTACTAAGAGCAGTTAAGGATTAAAACTGTTAAAATGTTTATTATAAACTGTAAGCTAATAAATCAAATTATGGTAGCAGTTCTTTGAAGATTTTTACTGTTCAGATCAGTTATTCAGCATAACAATCTTTCTTTGTACTCTGTATGACTAATGTTTTGTTTATACATTGACTAATGTATCAAGTCTTAATGAGCAGTTTCGATAGTTTGTTCACTATAAGACCACAAAGGAGATTCTTTGCGACTAATGAAATCTTTGATGTGGTAGAAGACGATGTGAATTTTGGGTGTTTTTCTTGCACCAATTATCCTTAGTAACACCTTTTGAAGTCTTTTCAATTATTTTGGCAAAATCAGGCTAAAAATCAAATCCAAAGCAAGTTTTTACATCTAAAATGAAACTTTTGAAGGTTATGTTCAATTATGTAAAGAATGTTGGGAAACAAGTTTGTATCAGCAAGTTGCTGGAGCACATTCACTTTTTTAAAAAGCTTTCTGTATTTATTTTCCTTGATCTGGCTTTCATGATACGGGCTCAGTTGAATGTGGAGGGCAGCTGGCCAGTTTTAACTACCTTGAAAAGATGCTTGACAAGTCCTATAAGGAGATGCAATTGCATTGGTGGGATTATTTCCAAATCAAAACATTTTAAGGGCCACTTATGATTTGCTTTTTAATGGCATTGCCAAACAACATTGCACAAGCAACAAACCCATCAGGTTGTTGAAAACAATCAAAGCTAGATTTGATTGAGCCTAGTGTTTGCAAGTTTCCAGTTTGGCAAGACACTTGGATTTGACTTTGTACCATGTACAAGGGTGCATATTAGAATAGGTTTAAAGACTACAAATTATATTTGCAACTTTCACATCACAAAATTAGTTTAGCTTCATTTGCATTTATCAGTGACTAGATTTGTTCAATGTTGGAGTGAGTTTCTGGTAAATCTTCTGATACTGCAATAAAAATCTGTCTCTTAACCCCAGTGTCTTTGCAAGTACTTTTTAAAAAAAAAAATTGTTTTTGTGGTAGTGAGCTAGTATCAACCTTTAACGCAGTATCAACAATGCTTAGACAAAACTTGAGAAAACCTTTACCACCATCAATTTCGAGCTTAACAAAATATCTAGCAGAAATTTTGCAAGATTGAATAACATGATTCACAAGACTTGATAAATCATTGCAGTGAGCAACAACCTGAACTGTACCAAAATTTCCTTTTCTGTTGGTAATTTTTAGATACTAATATTGAACTTTGTCTTGTATAGGGTATATTCAATCTGTCTAAAACATTATGTTGTCTTAAACATTTTTCAGACAGAGCAAGCACACAAGTTTATAATTTTCATCGTGAACTTGATTTGGCATTTTGGCAATTCACTAAATCTAACTTTACTAAATCAAACTATACCTTTTACAAAATTACTTATGGATTCGCATCAAAACTTTCACTCAATGTGAAACTATTAAATCAGTTTTTTTATTCAAGTTTTTAAACAGAAAAGTAATTTAATAATGTTTTTTTTTTTTTTTTTTTTGGATTTTGATTTTTTTCCTCAAACTTAATGTTTGTTTGAAAACATTAGTTGAAAAATGTTCATTATGAACTTTTTGATGACAATTTTGATTTTAGACTAATGCAGTGGATATCATCACAAAAATGTCTTCTCTACTGACAGAAGAAAATATAAAAAACATTGGTCCACATATTTATGATCAAATTACTCAACCTTTTATTTTTTCAATATCACACTTGTTTAGTGCAATTGCCAACTCTAATAGTGCAATTTTCAACTCTAGTAATATTGTAGAGTCTGTAGGTAAGTTTATAATATTTTTCTTATTTTTTGTTTTCTTATAAATTTTTCAAGTTTTTTCATCTTTTCATTTTTTTAAACTTTTATTTTTTTACTTGATATTTATAATTGTTAAAGTTGAATCAAAATAAGTTTTAATTGCTGAAAATTTAAAATGTTAAAAAAATTTTCAAAATAGTTACAATAAAATATATTTATAATAAAATAGAGTTTAAAATATAAATAAATATGTATCTAATAATAATAAATTATAAATAGCTAAAAAATTAAGAAATTAAATGAGATCAAATTACATATATAATGAACAATTATGATAATTAAAATTAACAATAACAAAAAAAAATCACAGCCAATAAAGTTTTTCAAAAAAGTATAAGAATAAAAAAAATTTAAAACTTTTCTGTTCCATGCGTGATTATATTTCTTTGATAAAATTACTTAAGTATTCTTTGTTTACAAAATATTTCTATAAATTACAAAATATTTCTATAAATTAGAATTAAGAGAGAGTAAGTTGGAGATTAATTCTCATTTAATTGCTAGTTTTACTATTATGAAATAGACAAAACATATGCAAGTTTCCTTGCATGATTTTTTAGAAATGCCCACTTAGAAATATCTCCTTTTTATTAAAAAAATTGGTTTTTCCGAATAAATCAGACATCAACCTTGTACTCAATTAAGTATACAGAAGCAGTAAAAAGGGTCATACAGTAGAGTGGTCATACATATATTTAGTCAAATATATAGATGTATAAAGAGTTGTCATATATTCTCAATCAAGTATGCCGCAGCTGTATAGAATAAATTTTAGAGAATGGAGTGGTCATATAGACTTAATCAAGTATACAGAAGCCATAGAGAGAGCATTGTGGTCATATGCAGTTATTAATTTATACATTAGTAATAACTATAACTGTCTTACTCTACTGAACGACATAAACAGCACAGACTTACACATTACACCTATACACCCTTATGCACATACAGCCTGTTTACATCTTTTGCATACTTTTTGTTCTTTCATAGATAAACTATCTTTGTTTGAACTCATCCTTATTTAGATAATATTTTCTTTTAATAGATATGTTGTTAAAATGTAGATACAGATTTGTATGTTATCTATATGTGTTTATCATGTGTGATTGAATTTTTCATTAAAGGATTCATCTGAATTTACATATAAGTATAAGAGCGATTCTTATAAACTAGCGGCATTCAACTTGTTTTTATGAAGTATGTTTTTCCTTGTTATTTTGTTATGGTCTCAAAGTTACATTTAATTCGGACCGTAGAGAAAACTTTATTTTTCAGAAATTTCGATTTAGATATGGTTTCAAAGTTTCTTTTAGGTCGGACCGTAGAGAAAACTTCACTTTTTAACAATTTTTTTTCCCGCTTTCTACATCGTTTTTATATCACGATTTATATCATTGTTATAATACCCACAACTAATTTTTTAACCACTCATTTGGCTTAAAATTATCTGGTTTTATTACAATATTTATTTAGTTTTATTGCTATATTTATTAATATTTTACTTATCTCCTGATTTTCATATTATTACTGTTTACAGAAACTTTCATGTTATATTATCTTGCATTCATTACTCAGCTTTGTTTTAATTTTCACATGCACAATTTTTATCTTTATTATTATTCAGAGAATATTTTTATATCCTTCATTTAATGTTTACACATATGTCACTTACATTTTTAAGGTTTTTGTGCAACGTTCTTTTTCGCTATCATATATTATTCTATTATTGTTATGATTTTGGGTTTCGCGGGTTACTCATTTTCCTACACTTTTGATTGGTTATCATATTTCGAATGAGGTATCTATGACAGCGTTAGAGTTTATTTAAGGGTATTGTTTTGTTTATTAAAAAAAAATTTTAATGAGGTATACTGCTTTCTGATTATCTTGGGCTTGTTTATGCTAATAATACCTATTTGGTTTTATTTCTTAAAATAAATTGATTAATATTTTTATGTTTCTATTAGAATTTTAATTTATTTTGTTTTCATGTTTTCTTTTGGTGGTACGGTAAGTGTTTTATTTAGTTATTTTTATTTTTGTTTGTTCAGTAAATCTATACTTTTTATATCATATCATCAAGAAAAATATTGGTGCTTTACAAATTTGGGGTTGGTTGGGTTTTGGCTATTTGTAGTGAGTCCTTTTTTACTGCAGTATGGAATAGGCGTAAGTCGCGGGGTAAAGCATAAGTGGCAATGACGTTTGTCTGACGGGATAAACTAGTTATAAATGCTGATCCTCATCGAAACGCCAGTAATAATAGACGCGACTCTGAGAAGATGTTTATTACTTATCACTACACTAATTATGTTTACACATTAGCATTAATGTTTTTTTTCCATTATTAGTCCTTTCATTGTCGTTAGCATATTTTTAATTTGTTGAATAGTTTTTTGTTTTACAAATTTTTGACTGGTTATGTATTTCTTGTATATTTTAGTTCATTTTTAATTTTTAATTTTTTAGTTTAATTTTTAATTTTTTATTTATATATATATATATATATTTTTTTTATTATTATTTGTTATTATTTGTTTTTAATTTTTTTTAATTTTTTATATTGTTATTATGGTTGAGTACTGTTTTGGTTGTATAGCTTGTCTTATTTATTTTTAAATATTCCTCTATTAATCTTTATTTTTGTCTTGACAACTGTCAAAATATGCTTTTTCTAATAAATAATTCTCCTTTATTCTAATGTATTTCATTTCTTCCCTCAGGCGTTCACTGCTCGTGTGTGACCATTCAGCGAATTTTATATGCCAAAGTTTTTAAATAATATTGGGCCTAGCCCGTAAGGGTTAGTGTTACGGTCATCGAGCACGACTATTTTCCTAATCGCAATTACTGTCACCGCGAGAGAGGATTTTTGTCTGTGGAAGATGCCTGGGCTAGCTTTTTAGTCATAAGTCAGTTATAAATCCATGCATAGGTGTTTAATCCATCATGGTTTTCTGGAGTATGGCTGGGCTTGCTTGGTTTAGTTCAGAGACAAATCTTTTACGCTGGTTACTAACAATACAAGACTCTACTGAACGACATAAACAGCACAGACTTACACATTACAGCTATACTTCATAAAAACAAGTCGAATGCCTTCGATTTTCTACAGTAGAGTAAGACAGTTATTACTGTAAAGAATCAAGTGAAAAACTGAATGACATGGGATATGTGCTGACGAAGTATAGAAAATAGTAATTTAAAAAAATAAAAATTTGGCTGTAAAAACGATTTTTTCTTATACATTATTAACGCATAAACATGTTATATCAGTTTTTTATTGATTTTATTTTTTTAAATCTTGAACACTATTTAATGTAAAATGGCAAGGCTTGTTTTTTCTTCTTATAGAACTTTAGAAAAGTTTAATATCTGGCATATCCGGCAAAAATATCCAGTACACCTCTAGTTATATTCTATTAAACTTTACTAAAGTTATTAAAGTTAAGAATGATTTAAGCAGTATTCATATTAAAAAGTTTATTTAAAAGTAAAGTAATTTGTAAATAATAGATTTAACTTCTAGACATGTTTAAGTTATATGTAAATTTGCTTTGATAAATAAAATAGTCTAAAAATTACAAAATTACAACTTCTTTTATAAATGTTTTGTATTGATCTTCAACTAATTTATGAGCAAAAAAATTTATGATTACTTTAAGTTTTTTAAAATATTTTAAATTTATTTATAAAACTATTTCAAAGTATACATGGTCATAAAGCATGTGCAGTTTACACAAATCTTTTAATAACAACTTTTCGGAAAAAAAAAAGTTAAAAAAACTTTTTTAGCTACTACTTATTTTAAACTGAATTTAAAAAAAAAAAATTAATATTTGAATTAATTAAAAATTGATTATAATACTTTAAATTAAAAATATTTATTTAATTTTTCTTTTTTCATTGTTGTTATACTAATGCAAATAGTTTATTGTTTTATATCATTTGTTTTGCAAATGTTTTATTGTTGGCAATGTAATCAAAATATTTTATTGTTGCTGGCACAATATAATTATTTTTTTTTGCTTTCTTTTAAAACAACTCTAAAAATAAAATCTTGATTTGAATTCATTTGGTTACTTAGAAAGTGGTGCTGCAGCTAAAGATATCAATTATGTATCTGAACAGGTTTTATTTTTTATTTATTGGTTTTAGTTTAATAATTTTAAATAAAAAAGAATATCAGAATGTTATCATTATCATTATCATCATCATCATCATCATCATCATCATCATCATCATCATCATCATCATCATCATTATCATCATCATCACGACCACCACTGCCAATAACATAGCATTTTTTATTACATATCAAACTTAGAAAGCATAAAGCTCTTCCTCAACCTTCAAGTGATGCATCAAGTGATGGATCTTGATTACAAACAGACCAGACTTTATAATTGTTTTTTTTATAGTTAAAAAAAGATCAATTAATATAAATATTTCTGAAATGAAAACAAATTGCGCTTATAAAAAGTTGTTTTTAAAAAAAAAAACATGAAAAAACAAACAAAATGAAACATATTATTAAAGCAAAATCAAAGTTTCAGGAATGTTAAGCTTAAATATTAAATAGCTAGATCTAATATACTTGAATATTAATAAAGACTACCAAAATTTGCATGTGCTTCATTTGCTGCTAAAGAATTGGTTCATCAAAATTATTGTTGTAAAGTTGCATCTCTTACTGCAAATACTATCATGGTTGCTGCTCAAAGAAGCTATTATACATTTACCATAGTTCATTTTTGCTTGACTCTTCATTTAGAAATGTCGTATCTTTTTACTGTATCTGTCCCTGCATACTTTTCTAGTTTTTTGCTGGACTTTTTGGAACTCTCTCCTATCTTCATGTTTTCTTGACTCAAACAACCTTCAACTTTTCATGTCTTCTGTCAACCATTTCCTTGCTCTATAACTCTATTCTTTGTTTTCTAGTAACTCCCAATTTAATATTAGTTGCTTGCAGCCTTGTTGATAGTAAATTAAATAAAAATAAAAATTAAAAATGAAAATAAATTTTTACCAAATACAAATTGCATTTACCATAAAAATATTAATAAAAAATGTAATGATATTTGTACTTCATTTTCTGTAATAAAAAAAAAAAAAAAAAAAAGATATATATCAAAATAGATTACTACAAAAGATTACAAAAAAAATATTACAAGCAAAAATCCTTTGTAATTAACCATCACAGTATCAACATAGAACTTACAAAAGCTTGCACATTTTTATTGATTACTTTAAAATTAAAAATTTTCATAATCTACAATTATAATAATTTGAAAATGGCAATAAAAAAATCTTATTAATTTGTCAATTCTTATGAAGTAATCAAAAATAAAATTAAAAACTTAAAAAAAACAGTCAACAATGGAAAATACATAATATATGAATTAAAATTCTCAACTATAACAGTAATTAGATATTCAAAAAATTAGAAATAAACAATTTAAGCTAAAATATTGTGTTGTAAATTATTATTTATTGAAAATATTTAATCCAAGTACAAAAAAATATGTTTTAATTAAGTTTTAACTCATCCATATGTTCAAATTTAAAATTAAAAATAAAACTGCAGCAATTTCAGAAGAACAATAGAGTCATGTTTGTATAAAAAAAATAAAAATAAAATCTTACGTTAAAATGGTAACCTCAAAATGGTTGTGATAGGCCGCGAAAAAAAAAGCTACTAAAGAACTGCTTTTCTAAAATAAACACATGCTGAGGGGAAACAGGTTCAAAAACCTATTATGATTGATCCATTTTGTGAAAGAGGAACCAACAAATGCATTCAATTTAAATCTGATGAAGATAATGTTGAAGGCTTTTTTTCTATCTCTGATTTCTTCAAAAATACAACATATTATTCTGTTTTTGCTGATTTTAGATTATAGTTTATATAGATCTTATTTTCATATCTTTTTTTCTTTATTATGACTTGTTTAAGTTTGTTAATGTTACATTTTATTTTTAATTCTTAAAAGAAATCAATAAAGTTTATTGTATAGTTTTTTGAATCATTACCTCAAAACAATTGGTAATTTGAAATGTAATCTTAAGAAAATTGGACTTATTCTGTGGATGCATCTTTTTAAAACTGTTTTTAGAATCTTGAAACAACGTTTCTAATAAAATTTTGCAAACTTATTTTCAGTTGTTTAAAAATTTAATGGTTAGTAGACCAATGGTTTCTTCAATGTCATTTTAACTTAGAATGTTTTCTGAAGATAATGTTCTTTTTTCTTTATGACTTAATATTATATCCTTTGTTCAAATTATTCATGGTTTTCAGTATTTGATAGAAAAATTTGGATTTTATACCGCTTAATTTAACTAAAATTTGGATTTTATACCGCTTAATTAATCTAAGGTCCACATCCTTTACCATATAAACCTTTTTCTATTAAAAATTTTTCTCCTGCTTATAATGTACAATCAATCATTTACTTGATAGGAATTTTAAACTAAATAGTAAATTAAAAATTTAAACTGTAAATATATTTGATACAAAGTTAAATATAAATATATAATACAAATAGTAGTAAAAATATATTCGATATAAAGGACAGTATAGATTATCTAAATAAACTTAATAAATTTTTTTTCTACTTGTTTTATTTTTATTTTGTTTTTTCTTTAAGACTATAAAATATATTTTAGGCAAAAATCAATTTAGTCACAAAACTGATTCGATCTATGGAAGAATATTTTAACGGTTTGCAATATTACCTTGCTAACAATGAAAATCCCACAATTGTTGATACACCTGCATTTAAGTATTTTGTAAAAAAAGTTTATGGGAATTCTTATCAAAATATTTGGTCAAAAGAATTCGAAGTTGACTTCTTAGAAGAAAATTATGGTGAACAAAGTGGATTTAAAATTCAGAATTTAACAAGTCTTTTAAATGAATCAACTAAATATTCCAGTATTGTCATTAATGTATGTTTTTTTGTGTGTGTGTTTTGAGTATTTTGAATATATATATTTTTTTTATTTACTTGTTGTTTTGTATTCAAATATATCAAATGCATCAAATACAATTTTTTAATAGAAAAGCTTATTTGAGTACTAACATATCTCTTTGTTATAGCAAAAAATTAAATAAAAAGGTATTATCTAATGCTAAGTTACATTATTCTCAAATTATTAAATCTTGTATTTAATTTTGAAAACAAGGTTCTTGATATTTTTGAATATCTTTAACAGTGTTATTAATAAAGGCTAATTATTTCATACTTGACCATGCTGCAGTTGCAGATTGTTCCATAGTCATGTTCTAATATTTCATACTTGAACATGCTGCAGTTGCAGATTATTCCATTGTCATGTTCTAATATTTCATACTTGAACATGCTGCAGTTGCAGATTATGCCATAGTCATGTTCTAACGTTTCATAGTTGAACATGCTGCAGTTGCAGATTATTCCATAGTCTTCTTAAAATAGTGAATCTAGAAAAGTTTTTCAAGTTATTGGTTCATTCTTTTCTTGCAGCATTAATAAAGTTGTCTTTTTTGGACAACACTCATTTGTAGTACCTTTTGGAGTCCCACAAGTTTCTACCAATGGTGCTGTTCATTTTTTTGTTAATACTAATTTTGCACAATCTTATCTTCAAGCTGGCTCTATTTGATTTTTTTTTTTCAATACTTAATTTTGTATAGTTGTATCATCAAGCTGGCTGGCTCTGTTTGATAAAAAATATATATTATAAACCAATTACTTAATAATATATTTAATATGTATTTCAAAAAATTTAATAGCTAAATTCTATATTTGCCTAATTTATAGAGCAAATATCTGCTCAAAAATTTAAGGTGTTTCCTTTTGATGTCTGTATATTTTTAATTTATTTATAGTTATAAAATTTATTATATTTTAAATTTTGAAACAATTATTTTAGAACCTAAATTTGAAGAGTCAAACATTTTCATGGGATTTAGAACGTTCTAACAACATTGTTTCTGAAAATCAAATTTTATACTTGAGCACAACGAGCAGAAAAAAAATTGAAGTTAAAAATTTGACATCCACAATTGATATTTCAATAAAAAATATTCCAGAGAAAATGATTGGTCAAAACATATCCTTACCAATGCCAAACAATGTTCAAATGAACTTCATTAATATATCATCTGCTGAATGCAAACTAATGATGAAGTTTGCCGCATTAAATGATCCACAAAACAAGACTAACCTAATTGTTTACATTCAATATGGAAAAGTTCCAACTATAGATGATTATGATATTAAATTAAACATTTCAAATAGAGATGGTACTGATCTTATTATTGGAAACAATACACCACATTCCAATTCGTCTGTAAATATCCAACGAAGTCAAAAACGTAGACTGTTAAAAGATGGATCAATTATATTATGGGATTTTCATAACTCCACATATTCTTTTTTAAACAAAAAATATCTGTATTTATCTTATTTTTATGTTGGACCAATGCCTGAAAAGATATTGGAGTCAAATCTGTATACATTTGATGGGAAAGAATTTTATGGAACATTTCTTTATGAGATGAAATCTTTTTGTGTTGAATGCAACTATTGGAATGAAAGTAATAACAAGTGGATGTCAGATGGATGTGAGGTAAATAACTTTTGTTTTGGAGGAGTTCTCAAGATGTACATATATATATATATATATATATATATATATATATATATATATATATATATATATATATATATATATATATTTATATATACATATATATATTTATATATATATATATATATTTATATATATATATATATATATTTATATATATATATATATATATATATTTATATATATATATATATTTATATATATATATATATATATATATTTATATATATATATATATATATATATATTTATATATATATATATATATATTTATATATATATATATATATATATATATTTATATATATATATATTTATATATATATATATATATATATATATATATATATATATATATATATATATATATATATATATATATATATATATATATATATATATATTTATATATATATATATATATATATATATAAAAGAACAGAGCAATAACAAATTAGTAGAATAAAGGTTTGATTTATGCTTATATAATAATTTAGAACTTTTTCGTGTTAGTGGTTTAATAGTAATGCATATAAAATTTGGTTCGCAACTCGATAAAATTAGAAAAGATATTAAAAAAAAAATTTAATTTTGGCTTTTAAATCGAAGTAGGCATAAATTTAAAAATTGTGAGTTTTCTTGATCTCACATTTAACCACTCTGAAAATTAATAACAGGCTAAACCAAAACTCCTCTTTTGAAAATGTATTCAATTCCTCAAAACAAATTTTTGAAGATGCCCTTAAAAAAGTGGTTTTCAAAATTTTGAATTAAAATTTGATCCTGAAAAGAAGAATACAAAAAATTGAAATAGAACTAAATATGTAATTTGGTTCAAACCCCCCCCCCCCCTTCACCCCATATTGCAAAAAGTTATATATAAGATATAGGCACTACTCTAAAAAGCTAGCGTCTCTTGTGCCATCTACTAATATTCATTCTCGTGTTACTCATCATTCAATTAAGTCTCATCCTTTTTCTGTAACTGTTCCTAAGTGCTCCAAAAACTCTTATTCGTCTAGTTTTTTTCCTTGAACATCAGTTCTTTAGAATTTGCTTCCTTCATCTTACTTTCCTGATTCATATAATTTGCAATCTTTTAAGTTGTCTGTCAATCGTTATCTTGCTCTACAATCTTCATCTTTTTCTTTTCCACTAACTTCCAAGTCTAATTAGTGGTTGCTTGCAGCCTTGTTGGAAGCAAAGATGTTTTAAAAAAAAATAAAGATGCAAAAAAGTTATATATAAAATAGTTTCCATAGGAAAAGTATTTTTTTAAATTGATGTATAAGCAGGAACTGCTAATTAATAAATTGCATAAAACTTTTAATCAAAATACAATTAGAGTTACACAACAGCTACAGTTGCACAAAAAATATGGAAAGAATTATAAAAGATTGCAATAATGCTTTGTTAAACAACAAAGAAATCCTAAATGAATAAATGAGAGAAAATTGTAATTGTAAACAAAAAACAGTTGTCTAAGGAGTGGAAGTTGTTTATTAAAAAACCTGGTATAGAAATGTGTTGCTTCCTCTAAGAATGTACCTGATAAACAATATATTGCTTTAAAGAGGGTGAATGGAAAAAATGTTTCGTTAATTATAAGCAATTCTTTAAAGATAAAAAGTATTCAAAAGACACCATGCTGTCAAAATATATATGGGAATCAAAAGATAAAAATATTGATGATTTTATACTCAATTGGTCCATCCTTAAAACAGCACCTGCATATAACGATATTTATAAAAAAATGCATACTTTTCCTTTTCAAAAAAATTTGAAATAGTTACATATGTGAACCAAGAATGTTTATTAAACAAAAAATTGAAATTGATTGCAAAATGCAGGCACAAAAATAAGTTTCTCCTTAAAAACCTATAAAAATAAGCTCAAATATTTAGATCAAATCTTCACATAAAAAAGTATTATAAAAAAAGCAAAAATAATCAATTCTAAAGAATTCTTTTTATAATAGTGTCAGCATATTCCAAAAAATGTGTGAAAATTTACAGTAGTTAAGAATTTTAAGATAAGAAATTTTAAGATTTTTATGTTTTTCTATAATTTAACTTTTTGTTTAAATTAAAAGTTTTATTAATTTGATCATTAATTTCAGTTGAGGTTGAGTCTTTATTGATAAAACACAGTTTTTAAATGGAAAATTTTTGTTAAGTGATTCTTTACTAATTTATATATACATATATATATATATATATATATATATATATATATATATATATATATATATATATATATATATATATATATATATATATATAATATTTACTGACCTACAAAACTTAGAAAATACATTTTGAAATTTATAAAAATAGTATTAGGCAATATTATTAATAAATATTAATATTAAGCTTATTATCATTTTAGTTTTAATACAAAAAGTGTTGGTTTAAGTAAAATATAGTTTATATAAGTTTAATATATTAAAATTTTTGAATACCAAAATAAAACTTGAATACCAAAAAAACCCTAAACTACAGGAAATTTTTAAAATTATATCATATTAACAAAATATAAATATCAAAAAATGCTTCAAAGAAAAACAAATATATTAAATAAATCAATAAAAAATAAAAAGCATATAATACCAATAATTGATAACATATTCATTGTTTTTAATAGACTCTGTACATCTATGAGGCATAGAGTCTATAAGTTTGTCTTTTTGAACTTGTTTTATTTGTGACTGAGCATTTGAAGTTCCTGATACAATTCATCTGAATTTTAAAACCTACCACATAAACGTACATTGTAATCAAGCAGTTTCCATACATTTTTGATTGGATTTAGCTCAGGAGATTGTGCAGGCTATTGCATTATAGTGACTTTATTTGTTTTAAGCCATGCTTTAACTAGTTTTAATGTATTTTTCGAATCATTGTCCTGTTTGAATGTCCACTTTAGAGGTATGTTTTTTTCTACAAAAGCTAAAGTTTGATGCTCCAAAATTTTGTTATATATGTATTTGTCCATTATTTTTTCAAAGCGATATAGTCCAAACCAGAAAATGCTGAAAAACATTATGAAACCATTGAGCTTTTGCCACTTCCATTATTTACAGTTCCTATAGTGTAATTGGTTTTAATCCTTTACCAACAGGCGTTTTGACATTTTGTTTATCATCTGAACCATTTATGTAAAACTTTGACTCATTTCAACTCTATACTTCTTTTTTGTTTTTATGCTATTATAAATGTATTTTTTTCTAAAATATCTAGATGTAATTCATAAACTTTATCTTTTGCACTAGCAAATGGGTTCTTTTTTAAATAACTGAAAATTTCATGATCATTATGTAGAGTTTAATTTTTTTTTGGTCATCCGCACAAATACTTCAACAGTTACTTTTTAACTAATTGCCTTTTGTACTTTTTACATTAAAAAAATTTGTGTAGTACCTTTTTTAAAATCTTCAATGATTCTTTGCTTACACTATTATATTTAATATGAACCATCTCTGACAATTCATTGACATGATTTTGCCTGCTACTAATCTTCAGTTTGAATTGATAGAAATATTATTTATATGAAAAATAAACTTTAATAAAGTTAGATAATTTTAAATTAAAAAGTTCATTAATTTGAATTATAAATAAACTTGACAAAATATTTTTAACAAATAAAAAAAGAAAGATTTTGATGTTTTATATACGTTTATTCTCAATTTTAGATTGACTTATTAACAACAACATTTTATGTTACAAAGTGCAAATGCAATCATTTGACTGCCTTTGGAGGTTTTTATGTTGCACCAAACATATTGCCTACACCTAGTTTAAGTTTGCTTAAAGTAGGCTACACTTTACTTGTAGTAGTTATAACGGTGATTGGTTTTTGGATTGCAGCTTTGGTATTTGCAAGAAGAGCTGATATAAATGATGTAAAAAAGGTGAATTTAAGTTGTAATTTGTCAATATAGATTTATGCATATTTAATTTTTACGAAAAATAATGTTGAAATAACTTTTTGAATTTAGAAAATCATTAAATCTAAATTATTTAACTTATCAAATGAAGTTCAATGTGTTTTTAGTTAGTTAAAAATTATATATATATATATATATATATATATATATATATATATATATATATATATATATATATATATATATATATATATATATATATATATATATATATATTAAGGTTGGGTCGTACTTTTAAAATTTTGGATATGGGAGCACGCGCAATAATTTTTTTATGTATTAGGATATTAGAAGAGACATTAATAATTTTTTTTTACTTAAAAAGTTCATCAAGTGTGGGCACAGGGCGTTTGAAAAACGTCAGTTTTACAAAAATCTCATCATATTGGCATTTTTTGGCCTTTTTTTATATTAGCCAAAGGTAAGGCAATTATCAAAAAACAATCAGAGATAACATAGACATAAAAATAAAACATAATATTTGGTGCTACTTTTCTTAATGCTATACACATACGGTAGACGTATGAAAAAATGTCTACCATTATGGATTTTACAAAAAAAATATCTATATATAAATGTTAGAAATGGGATGGCGCACAATATTTTTTTTATATATTAGGATATTAGAAAAGACGTAAATAATTTATTTTTTCTTAAAAAGTTCATCTTTTGTGGGCGCAGGGCATTTAAAAATTGTCAGTTTTTTCAAAAAACTTTAAAAAAAATTAAGATTAACTTATTATTGTTATTTTCAATGCGCATAATGCTACTCGTATAAAATGAGGTGAATCATAGTCATCATAATCAGTATGATTTTTTATTTGTTATAAAGTTTCAATAGCTTATTTGTAGGATAATTACTAAGATAATAGTTTCCTGACGATTTGCGTTTTAAACGTGTTCTATTTGTTTATGATCACTTTGACATCCTAAATATTGTTATAAAAATGATAAAATTAACAAATTTATAACATATATATAAAGGTAGTCTTTTTACCTACTACAAAAAGCTACTAATATTTTTAAACAAACATAACATCAATTTCATTTTCATAATTTTGTTCTCAAACAATATTAAAATGCCCTAAATTGCACGAGCTATTAAGTAATGGACTTGAACTATGTTTATCAGAGCTGGCTACGCTGAGAGATTGTTTACAATATGGAATTTTGTTGCGCGATAGATCAGTTACACATTTGGATACAAGATATATGTGTATACAAATATTTATTAAAATAAAAAATATTTGGATGTCAGCAAATTCTTCAATCCCGATGGTCTCAGAAAAATATGCAGTTGATAAACTTGTCCTTGAATGGAACATTGCAAAAAACATTGGAAAATTGAGAACTACGAAAAAAAGATATATGTATACGGAAAAAAACTTGATAAGTTATTTGACTTGACAAAATTTAAGTGCAAAATCTTATGCTGTAATGAAAATGGATGCAATGGTTGTCTTTTTAAAGCTCATGTAACTTGCATATGTCCAAAAGTAGAAAAGATACCTTTGCAAGAACTATTTTTCCTACAAGCTCAAAGAAATAAAATTGGTAACAAAAGTTCTTTACAAATAGGATTAGTTGATATATCAGAGACACATTGGTTAACAAGATATTTGGATCGAAAAGAATCAGACTCTAAAATACCTGGAGCAAATAGTGAGGATATAGGTAAATGCTAAAATATTAAAAAAAATTTTGTCAATTTTATAATTGACAAAATTTTTAGTATAATTTGAATATAAAGTAATTTGATTAAAATTATTTAACATTTAATTTATTTTCTCCTTTAGCAGTAGAATTTCAAACAAAAAATGGTTCGGACATTGGGAACAAAAAACAAATGATACAGAAAAAGCTGACTTCAGTTTAAAAAAAAAATTACTTAGATATTACCAGGGTTTCTCAAGCCGCTATTAGGTATGGGGTATCTAACAGAGCTGCTGATGCCATAACTACTACTACTTTAGCTTCTGCAAAAGATGCACATTTTTAAAGAAAAATACTGATATTTTTGTTGATCACAACAAAATAAAACAAAGTAAGAAGTTAATGAATGAAATCTGAGATAGAGCTGAAAAAAAATGAATGATAATATTCAATGTATATTTTGTGATGAACGAAAAGATTTAACTAAGTACATGAGAGAAGATAAAGATGAAAAATTACATCAATCAGAAAAAAAAGAAGAACATTATTCAGTTTGTTCTGAACCTGGAGGAAAATACCAATTTTATTTCACTAACAATTCTGAAGAAAGAGTAGAGACTGCAGCTGAGCAAATAGCTGATAATCTTTACGAATGGATTATGAATCATGATGTTGGAGACTATTTAGTTGCCATTGGTGCGAACTCAACAAATTTAAACACTGGTTGGAAAGGAGGTGTTATCCATTACCTTGAACATAAATTGAATAAAAAACTAATGTAGATAATTTGTGCTCTTCATACAAATGAGCTACCTCTCCGACATCTTATGATTCAGCTTGACGGAAAAACTGCATCTAAAAATAACTTTTCTGGTTCTATTGGAAAACTTATAGGTAAGGCAACTAGCTTCAAAGTCAAAGATAGCATAAAAAAAAATGTATTTTCTAATACAATAATAGAACTTGACTCTGAAGTTGTAAAATCGCTATGAGATGATCAAAAGTATCTTTATCAAATTACCCATGCAATTAACACTGGGGTTTTTCCAGAAAATCTTAAAGGTAAAGAAATTGGGCCACATTTGCAAGTAAGATGGTTGAATTTCGCAAATAGAATATTTACTTTGGTGCCCCGAATTGTACTTTCAATTGAAGAAACATATAATCTTCAACTTCTGGTGGAGTTTATTGTTGGAATTTATGCGCCACTTTGGTTTGAAATCAAAGTAAAGTGGACATGGACTGAAGGCCCTAACCATATACTCAAGCAATTAAAACTTCTTTCTTGTCAAAGACTTAAAGTTAAAGACATTGTAATGTCCTTTGTTTTATCTTCTTCATGGAATGCTCATAGTGAAAATGTTCTTCAAGCATTGTTATGTAGTCTAGAAAAAACAGAAAGACAATTTGCAGTTTAAACAATTTTAAAATTAAGAGATTTAAAATACGGAAACACTTATGTAAGAAGTAGAAAACATCATTCTCATAATGAAAATGCTGAATCACTTTTTGATCTAATTGATTGGAGTTTGGATGTACACAAACTTTTACTTACATGTTTATTGTCAAAGGATGAACTTTTAATATACAATGATATTCCGATGTGTGTACCTTGTTTTCCTGTTCATGGGCAAGCTATTGAAAGATGTGTCCAAGTAGTCACAAGAGCTTCTCGATTGGTGTTTGGAAAAGGGTTCATCAGAGCAACATTAGCACATCGAGAAATCATGCCCATAAACCAATCAAGCAATATGAATTTTTTTATTGTTTTGCTTTGGATTTTATTTATGATCTCAATAAATAATTTGAGCTTTAAATATATTGTATCTTTTAGATAACATTTTATTTAGGAACAATAAATTTTTAATCTTTCAGAAAGTTTGTAAATTATTGTAGGAACTATCTTATTTATTATTTATAGAGCAAATAATTTTTTTTCCTCTTCTAATATCCTAAAGCAAACACGGTATACTTATGAATACGTTTTTGTATGACTTTATGAACAGTAGCACCCAAAGTTATGTTTTATTTTAATGTCTATATTATGCCTTGCTGTTTTTTGATGATTGTATCACCATAGGCTTATAAAAAAAAAGACAGAAAAATGCTAATTTGATGCGTTTTTTGTAAAACTGACATTTTTTAAACGCCCTGTGCCCACATAAGATGAACTTTTCAAGAAAAAATAAGTTATTCACGTCTTTTCTAATATCCTAATACATAAAAAAAATATTGCACGCAATCCCATTTCTAACATTTATATAAAGGTATTTTTTTGTAAAATTCATAATGGTAGACAACTTTTCATATGTCTACCGTGTTTGTATAGCATTAAGAAAAGTAGCACCGAATACTATGTTTTACTTTTATGTCTATGTTATTTCTGATTGTTTTTTGATAATTGCCTTACCTTTGGCTAATAAAAAAGACAGAAAAATGCCAATATAGTATGTTTTTCGTAAAACAGATCTTTTCCAAACGCCCTGCGCCCACACTAGATGAACCTGTTTAGCACTCACAGGGACAAATTTTACAAAAAAACTAACACCTACGGGGACATTTGCGTCATCGGGGACATTTAGTGTACCCGTTAATTTTTTGTCCCTGTAAGCATGTTTTTTTTTTTTTGTAAAAAAATGTAATCATAAGAAACTTTTATAGGGAACAAAAAGTACATGCATCGACTGACAAATAGCCTGACTCGCAAGGAAGTGCTGCTACATCGACTGAGGGTTTGGTTAGGCCAGGCATCAAGGTCAGGCTTAGGGTTAGGGTTATGGCAAGGTTTAAATTTGGTTATTTTACTGTAATTAATTGTTCTTGTAAATAGATGAAGTTAAAAATGAAATATAATATAAAATAAATAAATAAAAATAACAAAAATTAATATAAAAAGTATATTTTTATAACAAAATAATAGATTTAAATAGGTATAATTGAAAATAGAAATAAAATAAAAATTTTAAAAAATAGATAAATATGCAGGGCTCGAATTAAGCGTATCGCGAATCGCAAATGCTTTTTACACCTTCGCAATTAGTTTTTTCTTAAAACATATATTTTCGCGATTGGTTTACTTTTTTAGTTGTTTATTAACTATTTTTCTAACTTAGTTTTTTTTTTGGAAATTTTTAAAAGTAATGTTTTCATAGTAAAGTACGTCACGCAAAGTTTGTCTTTTGAATAGAAGCATGATCATTTGTTTTTGAATAGAAGCATGATCATTTGCTCTTTTGCGCGGAGATTTTTATTCAACGTAAAGCATTTTTTAATTTAAACAACTTTAAATCTCTGGGTAGATGCAAATTAAAAAGACAAAAGTTAAAAATAATTTTTTCTTCATTCTATTTTTTTATCTTTTTTTAAAAGAACTTAATTATAATGATTTAAATTATTATATTATTATTTTATAAACAATTTTATATTATTGTATAATTTATAAGTATATTTGTAGTATAATTATAATTTTATATAATTATAATATAATATAATACTTTAAGTATAATAATATTTGTTTAATATATATAATATTCGTTTTTATTAAATAAAATTTCTATTAGTAAAATTGTGCTAAAAGAAACCAGCAACTTTTTTGCTTTCATGTTTTTTGCTTTAATGACCTTGAACTTTGAAGTTATATTTAGTTAACTTTACTGAATGGATAAAGTATATCACAGTAAATTAACCTAAATCAAAACAACTAGTTAAGTTAAGATAGTAACTTACAGTTACTCAAGTATTAATTTAACAATTATATTAATTTATTTAATATACTTGCAAAAGTTAGCCATAGACATGTTTCAATTTAAATCTTACATGTTGTTAACATATAATATTAGCTTTTAACTAATAATTATTTTAACAAAAATTGTCGAATAGAATATGAAAAACGCGACACCATTTTTTCATATTTTCATTTTATTTATAGCGACATCTAGACTAAACATTTTCTATAAATACGCAATTGTTTTCAGGAATTTTTATTTCAAAGGAAATCAATTTAACAAGAGAAATTTAAAAAAAATTTAAAAATTAAAAAAAAGTTTGATGAAACAAGGGAGAAAAGAAGAAAGTTTTTTTTTCTTAAATCGTAAATTTTTTTAACATTTTGAATTATATATTTTTTCTTGAAAATAGTTTTAAAAGTAGAAACACTCCATTGCAAACATCAAAGCAGTGAATGCAAATTGCAAGTTAAAATAAAAAAAATAAAAAATTTAAATTAAATTTAATAAATTATTTTAATTCTGTTTGAAAAAAATTGTTTCTAAAAAAATAATTTAAGCATATTCTTATACTTAATATAATTCGATTTATTAAACAAAATTATTTGTTTCATATTTTTTTGGAAAACAATTAGAATAAAAAAAAATTGAATGAAAACATCAGTTTAAAAACCATTTGAATGAGAAACTTAATTATATTTAAATTTTTAATCGTACGCTTGATCAGGAAACAATAATTTATAAAAGTCGTAGTACATAATGTTTTTAAGCTTTGATCTTACTCGTTTGGTCCATATATTAAAAACTCGTATAGGTCTAAAGGCGCAAATATGAAGTTTTGTTTTAGTTTATTAAATAGATCAATTTTATTTATTTGCTTCCTTTTATTTTAAACACGTTTTATTTTATAAATTGTATAAATCAACATGAAACAGCATCACGAATTTGTTTTACATTAACCCAAGCTCTTTATATTTTTAAAACAACTTTGCAGTTTGTTTTAATGTTGTTTTATAGCTTTTAACAATTGAATACTTTTTAAAATTAACATGTGTTTTAACGTCAGCACGAACTTATTAAATAGTTTTCTTTGACTAATTAAAGTGGTTTAGATATTGCTATGTTGCTTTTTCTCTTACTTTTTTACTTTTACTTTTTTAAGTATCATTTTAAGTAAAATATATACTTAAAGAAATATCTTAATAGTATTAAAAACGTTATTGCTTATTACAACTGCAACTTAAACTTTAAGTTATAACTTAAGTTGCAAATAATAACAGTACCTTATGCTATTTTCTACTCTGCCAAACAAGAAAATTTCATTTCCGCAAAGAAGCGCAAGGTATAAGGAGGGGGAGGGGGGGTTAAAAATTTTTTTTTTTTTTTCGCGATTACATTTTTTTGAGTTCATTCGAGCCCTGATATGATAAAAATAGTATAAAAATAGTAAAAAAAAAAACAACAGAACTGGAACAAAAATAACATGTCCCCGAAAATCGCGATCTAGTAGGCTATATATACATACATATATATATATATATATATATATATATATATATATATATATATATATATATATATATATATATATATACAGTGTCCTCAATAAAAAATAGGACAGTATGATTTCTTTTAAAAAACAAAAAAATTAAATATATCAAATAATAACTTCTATTACACATTATTTGTCATTTAAAATAAATAAAAAAAGTCAACAAAACAGTTAGACTTATAGAAAAATTATGGAATTAGTAAAAATCAACTAAAATAGGAAAATTCAACTTTTTTTAAAAAGAATGTAAAATTTTTTACATCTATGTTGTTTAATATATAATGCTTAATGCAATTACATTTTCTCTTGATACTGCTAAATATAAATTCAATCAGTTTTAAATATAATACTCATTTTTAATACTTGGTCGCATAACCTTTTGCATCAATAAAATAAAAATATTCTCTCCAGATTCTCAATTACCATATTGTAGCTCATCTGTCCATATGACGCGTTTCCATTGATTTGAAGTTTAAGTGATCTCTGCACCATTTTAATCTCTTAGCACGATTTTCCTTGTTTATAAAATGCTTTTTTGTTTGCCACCCTGAAGTAAACTTTTCACCTTTCTTTATTCTTGCAACAGTTGTATTGTTACATAAGTATTCAAGATTTTAATTTTGCTTTATCTGACTCACTGATATACTACAATTCTGACTCACTGATATTTTATGATTCACTTCCCTCACAATCAATCGATCACAATCAATCGATCTTCTCTTTCTGTTGTTTTTTGCTTTCTTCCTGACCCTGACTTTCTGCTAATTGAATTTTGAGAAATAAATCTGGACACAATTCCTTGAACTGTAGATTTACTACATCCAACTTCTTTGGAAATATTACGCAAAGACCAATTGGCATTGTGTATTTGAATTATTTTACCTTTATCAAAGTCTGAAACATGTTTTTTCCTAAATTGGTAAATATGAATTTTAACTGATAAACAAATGATATAGTTGAAACTAAATTCTCCAATACTATAAGTATAAATGTCTTATATCTATCTATTATATCTATTTAATGGTTGAATTTTATTATCTATTGTATCTATGGTTATCTATTGTATCTATGGTTATCTATTGTATCTATGGTTATCTATTGTATCTATGGTTATCTATTGTATCTATGGTTATCTATTGTATCTATGGTTATCTATTGTATCTATTTAATGGTTGAATTTTTGTAGTAGTAGAATTAAAAGCATCTTTGTCATTGTTGCCATTTAATTATATTTTCTAATTATATAAAATTGCTAAAAAAATTAATTTAAATAAATTAATATAAATTTTTTTGAGTCATGAAGATATAAAAAGTTAGAAAAAAAAACTTTTTGCTAAAAAACAATAATCACATGTAACAACTTTACTTTGCTAAAAAACAATAATCACATGTAACAACTTTACTTTGCTAAAAAACAATAATCACATGTAACAACTTTACTTTGCTAAAAAACAATAATCACATGTAACAACTTTACTTTGCTAAAAAACAATAATCACATGTAACAACTTTACTTTGCTAAAAAACAATAATCACATGTAACAACTTCACTTTGCTAAAAAACAATATATAATCACATGTAACACTTTATAATGAGAAAAACTTTAATGGGAAATATGAAATATAATGTTAAAGATCCTTTTTTACTTGTTGTTAATTTGAGGGCGTGCCTTCTTTTTTTTTTTCAATTTCTTTTTATTTTAAATATTAAAATAGTGTAAATATATAAACATTGAAAACCAAAAACTTTTAAAGGTTTTATGGTACAATCAATTTACTTTACTATATTATAAAAAATGTATACAATTTTTTCATTTTTGTTAGTTTTCTAACAATTTTACAGTTTAGTTGAATTTCAAAAGTTTAATCAACTATTTTTTTTTTTTTTATTAAATAGTATAGTTCATTTTATGATTAAGAAAAAAAAGTTTAAAATGAGTGACACAACATGATTTTTATGAGTTTTAACAAAAAAGTCACGCAGTCCCATTTTTTTTTTTGAGGACACTTTATATTATCAGTTAAAAATTATATATATATATATATATATATATATATATATATATATATATATATATATATATATATATATATATATATATATATATATATATATATATGTGTGTATATATATATATATAAAGGTTGGTGTTTGTCCACTTATTGACAACTTTGAAGAAGATTGTTATCTTTATGAAATAACTGTGATTACTGGTAGTCGAATAAATGCTGGTACCAAGTCAAATATTTTTTTCAAAGTTGCAGGTATTTTATAAAAATTTGTCCTATAAATTATTCATTGTAATTAATTACCAATCATTGATCTATATAGTTAATAATAAATCAATTGTAATTAGTGATCAATCAGTGGTATATATAATAAATATTATAAATCATAATTTTTTCAAAATTAGTAATCTAATTATTACTTCTAGTTATATAATTAACATAATTATCAATTATGTTTCAATTATTAATTTAATTGTGAATACCAGTCATAAAGTTTTATGACTGGTATTCACAAAATTGTCAAGAAATTATTTTGTTTTTTTAAAAAATCATTATTACATAAAAGGGATTTCAACAAAAAAAAGTGTTCATTGTTAAGAAACCTTGTTGCATACTTTTTCATTGCTAATAAACCATTATTACATATTTTTCAAAGAAATGTCATAAAATATTGGAAATTGCTGTCATTTTATCTTTTTTAAGAAAAAAAATATTAGAATTTTATTCTGAAAATACTGTAAATGTTAGTGTAAAGACAGGGTAAATCCATTTGTGTGCCCAGTATTTTTACAAATAGTGGTATATATCACTTATATTCATTCAATTAATTATTATATAATTATTCTATGTTAGTTAAAACCATTTTTATTGTTTTACCTTTATTTATTTTTTTTTTGTTTTTTTTTACTTCCCTCTAAAAGCATTTACTTCCCTCTAAAAATAAAAATTCAAAACCTGAACTTTGAACCTTTAATGAACTTCAAAACCTTGAACCTTGATAAAAATAAAAATTATCATCTAAAAGCAAATGCACACAAATAAAATGCCTTGTATAAATAATATTTAGAATATAGCATTTCATTTCAAGGACCAAAAGTATGGAATACTTTTCAAAAATAATTCAAGGGTATGGTTAATTTGTTATGTTCATTCAAGTTTAAAAAACAGAATTTTTAAAACTTTATAAACACTTTTGGTTGCTTCATATGGTGTATGTTGTTTCTTATGTAGAAAAATTTAAAAAAAATTCTTGCAACAATTATTCAATGCTTCAAGTTCTAGAATGAAATAAATTCTTGCAATGAATATTCAAATATTATATTTATTACAATCATTTATACAAACTACAAATATTTATACAAACTTTAGCAATCTGTATAAATATACAAGTTTTTGGATGCTGTTATTACCTATTTCTTTAATAAAATATATAATTTTTCACAGAAATTTGGAGTAAGTTTATTACTTTTAATTTACAAAAAATGGATTTATAAGTATTCTATTTTTAATTGTTAATTTAGAATCTACATGGTACAATCCATTTAGCAAATGGCTGATTGCATATCTTAGAATGCTTGTGAGTGCCAGAATAAATAAATGGCAATTGTTTAAAATGTGCAAAATAATTTTTAACCTTTATAATTTTTAACTCTTTGAATGTAGGGAGTTGCGATTATCGCTTTCTCAGATAAAATTTATAAAGTTTTGTTTTTAGTTAATCATTTTAACAAAATATTTTTATATTTTTATCATCTCTAAAAATATATTTCCATTTATGATAGTATAGTAAGCTACAAAGAAAAGACACCACATTTGTGCCAATATATGCTAAAAAAAATGTCATTCTTGATTTAGAATGAAATTATGTTGTTTTCAAATAGCACTTATGGTTATTTGTATTTGGTTGATTATTAGTATTTATAACAGAAAAAAACCTAGATAATTTGACTGCTGCTAACGGAATGACTTATGAGTTATGAAAGTGTCAGACCTTGTTCAAAATATTATAAATTATAATAATTTAAGGGTAATAATAAATTATAATAATTTAGGGGTAATAATAAATTATAATAATTTAGGGGTAATAATGAATTATAGTAATTTAGGGGTAATAATAAATTATAATAGTTTAGGGGTAATAATAAATTATAATAATTTAAGAGTAATAATAAATTATAAAAATAGCTTTTGCTTTACCACTTTTATTTCTATAAAACTTATTTGTTATGACATTAAAAAATTTAGCAGTAGAAAAGAAAGTTTAAAACCTGTATTGATTGCCAAAAAGTGAGATTTTATAATTTTGTTAAAGGCTCAAAAAACCTTGTTAATGATAGTAAGAAGACTCAAAAATAGTTAGTGGGTTAAGCAAGTTTTAATAAGTTTTCCAGTAGATAGGAAAGCAAGGTTCAGTTAAATTTTGGTTTACTTTTTGATAATTTTAAAGTTTTGCAAGAATGCAGTGGGATGTATTGTCAGGAGTATTCCGTGTAGAGAAATTTGAGTGATAAATAACTTGAGTAATAACTTACAATTTTTCAGTTGTGATTTAAAATTAGTTAACTTAGCAATTGGATTTGCTAATTTATTTTTATGTTTATTATCTTTAACTATACATCCAATATTTTCATATACATTAGTTAACATTGATGATGCTTCATTTATGAATTTAGAAATATCCATTAGTCAAAAGTAAATTGAACTTTAAACTGATTAGATGGAATAAAAGCTTTTTTTTCTGTCTGAATACAGGACAATTAAAACTCATCATCCCAAGGGTTATCAGTCACCACATATTGCGCATTCATTTCAAAAATACTTACAATACATATTATGTTACAGTCATTCTGAATAAAATTAAATAAAAAGATTAAATTGTATTTTCTAAACTAATATTTTATCTGCACAATTAAAATGAAAAAAATTTAAATATTCAAAATGTTCAAAACTTGTTTTGTAAACAAGAAATTCTGAGTTTGGTTCACCCCACTTTCCTTATAGTGTTGTACTAAACTTGTTTCTTAGCGCTGCTAAGAAACAAGTTAAGCGCAAGCAGTGCGATTGTGCCTCATAATGGGGGCAAAACCCTTTTTTTTTTAAGTGTAATTCTTGTAAAATAACATTTTTAGAATCCATTTAATTTTTTTCTTAATTGCATCAATTTAAAGCTTAATGATGTGGTTATTAAAAGAAACTGTTTGAAAAACACATTTTGTTTTTATTTTCATTTAATTTTAGTCCAAACGTTATGAGGTGGGGTTTGCCCCCACTTCCCCTATATATGTATATATATATATATATATATATATATATATATATATATATATATATATATATATATATATATATATATATATATATATATATATATATATATATATATATATATATATATATATATATATATATATATATATATATATATATATATATATATATAGGAGTTTCTGCCAAGCTTTATAAGGATCTATAACTTTTGAAAATACTTCAAGAGAAAATACTTAAACATTTATAAATCTTGGTTTGCTTTCTTATTTAGGAGAATTTGGTGACTCTGGAAATCGACACTTAAATGATTCTCAGAGAGTATGTTTTCAAAGATCCAGTGTAGATGTTTTTATAATGGCTACAACTAAATGTCTAGGTGAACTAAATTATATACAACTTTGGCATGATAATTCTGGAGGTGGATGGTATTTGAGGTAGGTTTTATATTGTTCATATTGTTTATTATTAGTTTATATTGATTTTCTATTATTTTTTTTAAAGTTTACCAATATTGGTATTAATATCATCATTCTTTCACATATTTTTGTTTAATCACTTTAAATCATTTGTGTTTACATCATCAATGTATACCAGAAATTTTGTCAAAGAACAATATTAAATTCATTTGTGTCTTTTTATTTGAATAAAATTGCTTTTTACCTTTCTATTGAATGGATTATTTTAAGTTCTTTTTTGTTAATTTTTTGCTTTATTTCAATCAGTACAAGTTAATTCCATTTACAAAATTTTTTTCAATTCAAAAATTTTTGCTTGCTTTTGACACATTTTTAAGTTAAGTTTATAACTTTGATAAAATATGAGCTCCAAGCTCCAAAGGTAAATTTCTGATTTTTTGTTTATTTAAATAAGCATTTAAGATGTACTTATATATGTCTTATTTTCACCATTTTTTAATAGGATTTTTTATCTTAAATTATGTAAAATATATAATTTAATTCTCTTTCTAATGCAGACATGAAAACTCATGCATACATAAATCGATAAATAAGTTTTTGTTGAAAACAATTTTTTTTATTATTATTATTTTTCTTTTGCATTATACTTTATTATTTAGTTTTTTTATTAATTTAAATTAATTCCAAATAATAAACAACCAATCAACCTAAAATCTGATCCATTTATGAACTGTAAATTCAAAGTTTTTGTGAGCTCAAAAGGTTTTTAAACTGTAAACTCATATTATCTATGAATTCAAATTTTCAGTGAATTGAAATTTTCTAAACTTAATAACAATAAAATAATTGAAAAAAATCCTGAAAAAAAAAAAACTTTTTCAAAATAAATTTTTTATAAACTTTTGAATGACGTTGCTAAACTGAGTTCATTTTGTAAATTTTTCACTTCTACCCTGTGGAACTTTTCTATTATTAAATTTTATTTTTTGACTTGAATTTCCATTGGATATTATTATTGGTTATTATAGATTTATACTATTAGTTTAGCTCCTACGTTAAACAAAGTAAATAAGAGTTGCTCGCTTATCGTTAGCTTTTAAGATTTTTTTTTTTTAACATCTTCGCTTCCAACAAGGCTGCAAGCAACCACTAATTAGTGTTGGAAGTTACTGGAAGAGAAAAGATGAAGATTGTAGAGCAAGATAACGATTGACAGACGACTTTTAAGATTGCAAATTATATGAATCAGGAAAGCAAGATGAAGGAAGCGAAATCCAAAGAACTGATGTTCGAGGAAAAAAACTAGACGAATAAGAGTTTTTGGAGCACTTAGGAACAGTAACAGAAAAAGGATGAGACTTAGTTGAATGACGAGTAACATGAGAATGAATTTTTGTAGATGGCACAAGAGACGCTAGCTCTTTAGAGCAGTGCCCATTATAGTATTTGTAGAAAAAGGAAAGAGAAGCAACATTATGTTGATGTGATAATGGTTGAAGGTTGGCTGCAAGAGTAGGTCCAACTATGTTTACAATGCGTTTTTGCACCTTGTCTAAAAGAGAAAGGGCATCATTAGAAGATCCACCCCAGATATGGCAACAGTATTCTATATAAGGCCGAATTTGAGATTTATAGAGATAGAGAATAGAATTCAGAGTAAGAAAGTGACGAGCTCGATAAAGAGAAGCAACTTTAGCAGATGCTAATTTTGCAACGGATTTGATATAAGGTTTCCAAGAAAGATCAGAAGTAAGAGTTAATCCTAGAAGATGAAGGGTAGGAGACTCATCGAGTACATTACCGTTCATAAATTAAAGGTCTAAATTATTGCGATAACGATTGGCTGAAAAAAATTGAGTTTTATCTGAATTAAAGTTCACCAGCCACTGTGAGCCCCATGCTGTAGCAGAAGTGAGATTCTTTTCAAGCTCAGATGCCCCCTGCAAGCAATCAGAGGCAGTTGGCTTCTTATCGTGACAAGAATAAATGGTAGTATCATCAGCGAACAATGCCACCTTAGATGTGGGAAAACCTGGAAGATCGTTAATGTAAATTAAAATGAGTATAGAGCCAAGGATTGAACCTTGAGGAACCCCTGAGGTTACAGAATAAGAATATCCTAGACTCATATAGGCAATCCTAGACTCATATAGGTCTCCATTTACTGACATAACAGTTGTACAATATATACAAACAATATACAGTGTACCTAATGTTTACAATACTTTAAACTTTGAATATAAGCATCCTAATGTTTACAAATGCTGCAAACTTCAGACCAGACAGTCTGTGGCATAAGCTAATACAGTTTTCAAAATTTCATTATCCTTCTTAAGTACATACTTGTAATATTATTTGCTCATGTATGTATGTTTATTTGTTAAGAATATATACTGTATTTTTTTTTTTATTAGCTTGAAGAAACTATTTAAAAAAACCAAATATGTTTTTGTACCATTGAGCTGCAAAAAAAATCTAACTGTATTGAATTGAATTTATTCACATCTAGTTTTAACTGTGTAATGTTAATTTAAAAATATAAATTTGATTTTAATTATTTTTGAAAGAAATAGTAGGTTCTGAAAAATAAATGTGTATTTATTTTGCAGGACACACTGTGTGACTCAAACAATTTCATCATAGTGGTGCCTGGTGCTGCATCACTTTATTAAAAGTTTAATAATTAAAATTTTTTTTTAATTTATGGTATTTCTCTGTCGATTTAGTTTTGATTTATGAATAAACAAATTCAAGTTTATATAAAAAGAAATTTTTAAAAGCATTTTTTTTATTATATTTTTCAATACATTAAAGTATTATTGAATTATTTTAATTAAAGAAGATGGTTTTTTTTTAATTTTGTTTTTTGCTGACTTTTTTGGTTCGTTATACATATACTTTATTGACAGTTTTTGGTTTTAATGACAATTTTTATCTTGATAAGTTTGACATTTTAAAAATTGCTTGTGTGTGAAATCATTCACAATCATGAACTAGTAGAACTTTTAATCTTTCTAATTTTTTTAAGAGATATTGAGATTGTTGACCTACAGACAGAGCAACTGTTTTACTTCATTGCAAATCGTTGGATAGCTATTGATAAAGATAATTGTTCATTAGATGTTGTTTTACCAGTATCTAGTCGAGAGAATATAACAAATTTTAATTACATTTTTTATTCAAATGTTCGAAAAGGTTTTACTGATGAGCATTTATGGCTTTCAGTATTAACACGCTTACCTATTAGCAATTTTACAAGATGTCAAAGAATTTCTGTTTCTGTCTGTTTACTAATGACATCAATGACAGCAAGTGCAATGTTTTTTGAGAAAGTGCCGCCTAGCAGTCCAGCAACTGAAAATAGAATAGGAGCATTTTCATTCACAATCAAACAGGTAGGAAAATAGGAGCATTCACTTTAACAATCAAACAGGTAGGTAATGGATATATATAAAATGAATTTAAATTGTTAAATAAGTAGTTTTTAATTTAATTAATTTTGAATTTATGGTGCTTAGCAAATACTTTTCAATGTTTGGGCAAAGTTAATCAAAGTATATAAAAAATTTTTTTTTTAATTTCGAAAAGTTCTATGCATATTTATGAGCAATAACTTTTTTTGTCAATTAAAATTTATTTTTATGCATGGGTTAAGTATGTTATATTTCTATTAACAACAAACAGGGTGACGAATAAATGTACCACCAGGTTGTGTGAAAAATTTTATTTTTATATAAGGAAATTAAAAAATTTTTTGAGCATTTATTTATACATTTTGATTTTAATGCAATGTTCTTATTTAAACTTTATTTTTTATTTTAGTTATATGTTGGTATAGTTTGCACATTTATTACTCTACCCATAAACATTTTGCTGACTCAATTATTTCGGCTGGTTCAACCTGTTTATCAGCAGAACATGATTTGTGGTCAATCTAAATACAATGGTAATTTTTGTATTTACAGATAATATATTTATCAATTTATAGATAAATATTTTCTATAAATTAAAATTTCTTTTCTCATTAACAACCTGCTTCTCAATAATATTCGTTTTTTTTTCCATAACTTGTTTTTTAACTTTGTTAATTGTATCTTAATGTGTTGGAAAAATAATGAGCAATGGAAAAACAGATAAATTTTTTTTTCTAGACAACAAATTAGTCAAAAAATAAATAATAATGGCAAAGCAAGAAAAAATAATTTTAGTAAAAAATAATGGCAATGCAAATGCAAGCAATGTGATTAGTGCAAATACTAAATATTTTCAATACCAGTTTCTAAATAGAAATTGTAATAAAAAAGATAGAAGATTTAAAATCTGCATTAAAATTACTGTTAAATTAAATAATACCAAAAACTTTGTTTTAACTTTTAAGTTTTTTTCTAATAGTTTGATGCATTTTCATTTAACCTGTTGTTTGCACTTAACCTAAACTCCAGAACTAAGAATTTAATCGTTAATATTTATATGACGTCAACTTAAAATTTAATTAAAAAAATCAGATTAAATGAAAGCCCATTAGACACTGTTAGGTGGTCACTTTAAGCAACAAGTGTTTTATTTTTGTTTTCCAATATTGTAAAGGGTTCCATTCATAGTTAGGATTACTTCTTTGTTGGTTTATTTGATGTATTTGCTTTGGCAATATTGGTTTTGGCTGCTATTCAACTTTCACATTATCAGGTGAATCCTGGAGCCAAATTTTAGATAATGCTAGTTTTGTATCCAATTTTTGAAAGTTGCTTGCTTTGAAATAGCTCAAAGTGGATTTAAGTGCATTGACATATTTCCATTAGACTGAAATATATTTTCTGACCTTGATTATCTACTATCTATTGTAACAGGTGTTCCTATGGTAATTAAGCCAGCAACAACAATTACAAAGCAAATATGCGGTATGTGTAGTGGTAGAGCACTCACTTCATAAACAAAAGGTTCCGAGTTAGATACCCACCACATCCCTGGTAGTATCGTACTTAACTTATTTTTCCACGCAGCGGCCTTGTTCATCAAGGTTTGTGTTTTGGAGTTATATAGTTAAGAGAGGGTTATAACCACAAATAAGTAGCCTCCTTGTCTGTAGTGGCCTTCTTGGCCTTGAGGAGGTGAATTAAGAAAAAAAAAAAAATGAACCATCAGTAATAAATGAGCCATCAGCTATGAATGAGCCATCATCACATTTTCAATTGCATCATTTAACAACAACTTATAAATTCTACCAATATAAGCCTCTCTGCTATTTATACAATATGTTGCTTTGTTTTAAATTCCAATAAAGGTACTTATTGGAATGCAATATTGCATCCAATATTGGATTTAACATGTATGCAATTAAGTGTTCTAAATGTGTTTTGAATAAAGTAAATTAGTTTTTAATGGTGTTGTTTATCCTTATTTCAAACCCTTTACTTTTTATCAGTTGTACCTATGTATTTGTAATTAAATGTAGTTATCATGATCATATAATTTTAGATAAGTTTGGATGATATAAAATGGTAAAATAAAGTGGTAAAAAATAAAATGCAAATTAAATATTTTCAAGCTTATGTCTAATAATTTGAAAATAACTAAAATCCTGTTTAAGTTATGTTTTCAAAAATATGAGTTCTTTATTTTCACATTTTTCGTTTTGTGTGTGTGTGTGTGTTATTTTATTAAAGTGCACTAGAATTACTTTTTTGCTTCCAACTCAATAAATTTGTCTACTTTTAAAATTAAACTTATTTTGAATATACTACTTATTCCTGAGACCCAACTTTCCCACTACTATGGTTTTAGGTATCTTATTATTTGTTGCTTGTTCTTCAAATACTTATTTCAACCTCTTTACTCCCTCCCTATTTAAACAAATATCCTACAAAATAGTTATTTTGTAGGATATTTGTTTAAATAAATATTTAAAATAATTATTTTGTAGGATATTTGTTTAAATAAATTACCAATTAAATTATAGATTTATTTAATGAACAAACAATAGCACACATACCTTGTATATATAAAAAACTGCAAGACACAGCTAATATATGTAGAGTTACATTTATATTATAAATAAATAACATATTTGTTTTAGATTTAAAATTTGAAAGCATTGAGGATGGATTTCAAAAAAAGGCACAAGTTAAAAAACTTTTTTATTTTCCTCATTGGTTTTTATACATTTCTTGGTTTATATGCATTGCAACAATTTTAGGATTAGGATATGTTATTTTATTGTATGGAATGTCATTTGGTAATAAAAAATCATTGGATTGGTTAGCCAGTATTTCTTTAGGATTGGTTAGTTTTGATTTCTTTAAATTGTTTTAATAAATTATTTCATAAAAGTTATTTAAAATTAAATTTTTATCAAAACTATATTATAAAATCAAGTTTTTAATAAATACTAAGGCCACATACTTTCAGGAGGTTTATTTGAAACAGTTTAAAATATTTGGTCACCGTGTATTTTTTATCTTTCTTCAGGATTAAGTATTATTTCACAACTGTTTGCATATTTAATGAAAAAAAAAATTTTTTAGATAATAATCAGATTTTCTAAAGTTTATTTATAAATAAAAAGATAATTAATAATAAAATAAATGCTTAAATTATAATAAAAATAAAATCTTATTCTTTCAATATACACTCTAGGTTTAAAATAGACTTTCTGTACCTTTTTATTCCCTCAAAGTAGTCTGTATAACTTAATATTTTTAAATTTTATTAAAGACCATGAATAGTAGTGATTCAATGACTTTGAAAAGAAGATTTTAAGATTCTTTTTAGTGTTTTCCACTTTTGATAGTAATAATGATGATAATGGTAATAATATAAACAGGTTGACAAAAAACATAATAACTTACTTAAAAATTGTTTCAAATAGTTATACAGAAATATATAAACTTCTAGTTGTTGGAGCCATTATTTCATATGAGTCGCTTGTAGTTATTTCAGTTGCTAGTAGTTATTTCAGTTGCTAGTAGTTATTTTAAGTTGCTAGTAGTAACTGTACTTTTAAGAGTTAAAAATATTTTCATTAGAAGAGTTTTGATTTAGCCTTTGTTAATTGAAATAGGAATTTGTTTTAAGATTTGAGGGCCATGATTTGAGTTTATATTAATATATGATAATTCATCGTTAGGTTTTTTATAAGACCTATAAAAATTTTCTGAGACATTAAATATGACATCAAGAAAATTCACAATTTTTAAATTAATGTTCATTTCAATTTGGAAGCCAATGTTTTTGAAAATTTTTATAATATTTTTTTAATGATTTGAGGCCCTGATTTTTCAATTGGAGGCCCTGATTTTTTTGCATTATTAATAAACCATCATTGCAATACAAGCCTAATTGATTAAAAGGAACTATATTAACAAGGGAATTTAAAATATATAAGCCTACAAATTTACAAATTTCTGCTCCGTCGTAACTTCCCATTGTTACATTATAGCATTCATGCATGATTTTTTTCTTCCATGTGTTTTTCTTCCAAGTAAAGTTTTTCTGCAATGTTTAATTAGACGAATAGTGTCGTCTGTAATTTTGGTGTGGATTTTTCCAAATTCTATTGTTTTATCTAAAATTTCCGCTGTAATTGAGGGGTAAAAATAATTAATATCAAATTGTATGGATATGCATTCATTTTTTATTAGTAATTTTAGAAGACCAATTTATAACATCAGCGGTATTTTTCCACTGTTGCAAATTTAATTTTTTTCAAATAATATGATTTATTTTGTCTAATTTAGTTTTGCTAACATGCCATACTTCACTTTTTGAAGGTACAAGTAGCCTACAAGGGAGTTTATTTTGAAAATTTTGTTTATGATCTTCTAATAAACGCTTGCGCTGGTGTAACTAATTTAATTCTAGCTTCTAAATTAATTGTTTTAGCAATGTTTTGGCCTTCTAAATTAATTTTCCAAATTTTTAGTGGCTTTTGTGTAATTATTAGAAATATTATTGCAAAGTATTTTATTATGATTATTAGCGAAGTATTTTATTATGATTATTTGGGGTAATTTAAAATATGTTGCTTGTTTTATGAGCAAAAACTAATATATTAGGGTTTGATTTTATATTATTAATGTCTAATTTGAGGTCTTTTTGGAAATCATTGTTAATATTTTGAAATTTTATTGTTTTAATCAAATTTAGTAAATCATTTTCAAAGTTTTCTTAGTTGAGAATAAATGGTGGGGCGTTTTTAGTTTGAATCCAAAATTTGCTTTTTGACTATTTTCAATTCAAAGGTTTTTATTGATTTCAAATTCTAAGAAATAATGGGCTTTCCAACAAATTCTTTTAATAAAGAGTTCTATTTTTTCATCCTTATATCGAAAGATATATATATATATATATATATATATATATATATATATATATATATATATATATATATATATATATATATATATATATATATATATATATATATATACATATATATATATATATATATATATATATATATATATATATATATATATATATATATATATATATATATATATATATGTTTATATATACATATATATATATATATACATATATATATATATATATATATATATATATATATATATATATATATATATACATATATATATATATATATATATATATATATATATATATATATATATATATATATATATATATATATATATATATATATATATATATATATATATATATATATATATATACTCTTGCATGGTAGTTGAAAAGAGTTTCCCATGAACTGTAGTTTTAAAGAGCGCGTTAATAAACCAGACCAGAAAAAGTTCAAAAACTTAATTTCTTTTTTTTTTTTAAATGATAGACTGCCTGCCCAAACCAAACCCTCAGTCGATGTAGCAGCACTCCTTTGCGAGTCAGGCTATTTGTCAGTCGTTGTAGCAGCACTCCCTTGTGAGTCAGGCTATTTGTCAGTCGATGTAGCAGCACTCTGTTGCGAGTCAGGCTATTTGTCAGTCGATGTAGCAGCACTCCGTTGCGAGTCAGGCTATTTGTCAGTCGATGTAGGAGCACTCCGTCCGAGTCAGGCTATAAGATAGTCGATGTAGCAACATTTACGCATGTTTTAAAAATGTTTTTTAATAAAATAAAAACAAAAACATCACTAATAAAAAAAAACTTTCTAGTCGTTATAATTGAGGTTTTTTAAAAAATTTTTAAAAAACAATAATTTAATGTACTTCCGCATTAATTTAATTGCTTTGACATTTCAACGACAATCAAATACAGCTTAAGAGACGAGGTAATTAAAATTGTAGTCGTAAGAGACTTTTTTTACATTAAAACGCTCTTTCGACTACACTATATGGATATATATATATATATATATATATATATATATATATATATATATATATATCCTTATATCGAAAGAGACTTTTAATGTAAAAAAAGTCTCTTTCGACTTTAATTTTGCTACCTTGACAATTAAGCTGTATTTTATTGTTGTCAAAATATCTAAGCAATTAAATTAATGTAAAAGTAAATTAAATTTTATTGTTTTTTTAAAAAAACCGCAATAATAATGACTAGAAAGTTTTTTAAATTAATGGTGTTTTTGTTGTTGTTTTATTAAGATATATTTTCAAAACATGCGCAGAATGTTGCTACATCGACTATCTTATAGCCTGACTTACAACGGAGTGTTGCTACATCAACTATCTTATAGCCTGACTTGCAAAGGAGTGCTGCTGCATCATCTGAGGGTTTGGTTAGGGCCGGCAGTCTATCATTTAATAATAAAAAAAAGAATTATTAAAGTTTTTAAACTGTTTTTGGTCTGCTTTATTAGCACTTTCTTTAAAACTACAGTTTATGGGAAAAACTTTTTGACTACCATGCAAGACTCTATATATAAATATATATATATATATATATATATATATATATATATATATATATATATATATATATATATATATATATATATATATATATATTTATATATATATACATTCTTGCATGGTCGTCAAAACGTTTTTCCCATAAACTGTAGTTTTAAAGAGTGCATTAATAAACCAGAGCAAAAAAAGTTTACAAAAATTAATTGATTTTTTTTTTTTCTTAAATGATAGACTGCTCAAACCAAACCCTCAGTCGATGTAGCAGCACTCCCTTGCAAGTCAGGCTATTTGTCAGGCAATGTAGCAGCACTCCTTTGCAAGTCAGGCTATTTGTCAGTCGATGTAGCAGCACTCCGTTTCAATTTGATGATAGTCAATGTAGCAACACTCCGTTGCGAATCAGGCTATAAGATAGTCGATGTAGCAGCAGGCTGTAAGATAGTCAATGTAGCAACACTCTGCACATGTTTAAAAACTAGTATTGCTTCATTGATCGGTACAGATGGATATAAATTCACTACATCAAATGAAACTTGAATTTTATTAGGGCCTATCTTCCATTCTTTAGCATCGTTGACAAAACTACATGAATTAATTAGTCGAGTTGTATTTTTATTTAATGTTGGTTGAATAATTTTAACTTGATATTCTGATGTTCCATAAGGTGGTGTGTTGATAGTGGAGACAACAGGAAGCATTGGGTAGTTTTTTTCTAGTTTGTGAGCTTTAACCATTCCGTTGATTCTAGGTGGAATCTGATGGATACATTTTAAAGTAGGTGGCATTGTCTAACTTACCCTGTTTTCTTAATTTACATAACAGTTTTTGAAATTTAGTAGTGTGGGTGTTGGGTTGTAATCAAATACTTTACTATTTTTTATTTGTTCCTCTAATTTATCTTTTGCTTCATTTTCGTAAAATAAAGCAAAAACCTGCTCCTTAATCAAATGGGTATATCTTTAGATGTGAATGTTTTTTTAGATTTTCTAAAGAAAAGCGTTGTTGTTTTGTTAAATTATCTTTAAATTTTCATTTTAAAGAACTAGTTAGGATTTTCGAACTTAATTTTGAAAAATTTCTGTTTTTTGATTTTGTTGTTTGAGTTGTAAGGTGCAATTTTAATATTAGTAATAATATCCATAGAAGGGATATTCTTTTGTGATGGGACAAACTTTAGACCAAGATTAAGTAGTTCAGTGGTTATACTATCCAGATTAATATTTGTTAAATTTAGTATAGCTGGTTTTAAAATTCGATTTTTTTCAAAATTGATTTTATAATTGATACTATTTTTCAATTTCCATCATTTCAGTTTGTTTTTTTTTAAATAATGGTAATTTTTAGACTTGTTCGTTATATTATTAATAAATTCACAATCATTAGATCTAATTTGTGATTGGAGATATAAATTTAATTCATCAACTAATTTCT